CTTGGGTGCAAGTCGCAGGTGCGCACTGCTGATGAGTCTCATACTAGAATGAAACGGCCGTCCAGTGCTTCCAAGTTATTGATGGTTATCTAGCTTAGATCGACTCGTCAATTCAGCTGTTAAAAAACGGTATAGTTACAACGCATAATTTATAGCTGGTTCGCAGGTTAATAACAACTTTCTGATCAGAAAGTTCTTATAGATACAACAATGTATGAAGAAATTAAACTATAATTACGTGATGATTAGAAGTATTTGAACTATTGTACAAACTAGGAATCCCAGGAATAACGCAATTTAAACCGAGAAGAACTTGGTGAGCATGAACAAACGTATTGTATTTGGAATTCAAAATCAGACAGACATCAAGTATAAAGGAATCATTAGTTCATACAAGCACCACAACTTATCTTGATGGATTTAATTTTTTGCATACAGTTACTAAGAAACTGAATCTGGAGGAAGTAATTAAAAATGTAATTCACAGTTACCTTTATAACTATCTTTAATTGAATTATATGAATATATGATAGTTTGATTCATTGCATTGTTCTGGAAAATGCTATAATTTAAATAAGAGTTACTACGATGATAAAGCATAATTTTGTGAAAAACCATGAAACAAGAAACAAGACTCTCAATTGAGAACTTTCAAATCTTCCAGGCATAATAATAAACTTATATGAAGCAGTTAGTTTACACAGAATTAAGTAATAGTTTTTATAGTAAATAGGATTTCATAAAAGATTGTTTTGTTGTACACTAAACAACAGATAGTATTAGAAACAACTGTCTAATACTCTCTCATTTCATTCGTAATGTATGAACTTCCTACCTATTTACATATCTGTACAGATAAAAACATATATTGTGAATATATATATAATGTCTAGCGTCTATGGAATGTTAGTTAGGTGCACCAATCAATCCAAATAATAACTCGGAGGAAAATCATGTACGTGGCCTGCTTGAATATCCGGGCTACCGGTTTCTGCCATCTAGATATTTGAACCAGTCTCCCTTTTTGTTTGTTTTAACATATTATCATGTCGATTAATCACATAACCCATTGAGCCTATCACTTCACAAGGCACAAGAAATTACAATCAGACATATCATGGTGTCTGGCAATATGCATTGGAAAGAATGAACATTATTTAGATGTCGATTCTTGAAATACTGAACTCTAACTGCTGATCAATAATGGGCAACGTCTTCAGTTCTTACTAAGTCCAAACATGTAACGTATTTGTGGTTTAATCACAAATCAAGAATCCTGGTTAAAATAATTTACAAGACGACTGACTAATATCACTACGAGATTTCAATACTTATTGTCAGGATAGATCAAGCAATAAGAAAAGGAAACTTGTTAAAATACTTTGTACCAAATAAAGCCATCAATAATATTAATAATAATTCAGCCATTTAAACGTAAATACATGTAAACATTTTTGGAACAGAAATACATTCAGCAGCAATGTAATCATAACTTCTTACGTCATTGCACTGAAGCTGACTAGTTTTTCTGTTTATGTTTCAAGAAGCGAAGTGATGACTGGAGAGACTTTACAGAAAAATTATTCTCAGGTGATATAGCTGTCATCTACCATGGTACTTTTAAAACATGCTCACATATATACACAGCTAGAAGCTATGATAGTGTAATATATCAAAATAAACTCAGTTGCATCGATATGTTTGACCGACTAACTGAAATATCGCACATGTTCCATATAATTTGAAGACTTTACTGGAACAGAAGCTAAAAACTAGTATTCTATTCCTCTGATGTACTACATAATTTTGTGCTTCGTTTTTGCTTGATCTTAATGAGGATTCAGCAAAAATACATAAGTGTAACAACAGATCACGTCATGTCTTTACTCTAGGGAGTAAAATTTCATAATGTGAGTCACACTAATGTATATTATTGACTGAATCTATCACCAGAAAATATGAAACATTAGATATCTGTTTCGTCCCAATATGGAACCTCTCAACAGTGGGGGCGCGAGACAGTCAGTTGTCAGAATCAGAACTTACTGGTTTAGCAATGAGTGCTCAACATAAAGAGGCGACGATCACCTATGAAAATACATATGATCAGTTAGAAGTTTTAATCATTAGATTACAAGCTTACCGCTAACCCTGCTGGTCTTGAACTTAACCCTGATGATATCTTGGTTACTTAATGCAAAGGAGTAATAAACTAAAACGAAATACTGTCCAATATTACTTGATTAATAACCGTTGTCATATTGAAGCTGATCTATGATGTACAAAAAACAGTTTCTCCTTAATGTTTGTTATACTTCAAAACAACTTCACTAACATATTTACTTCTGTTCAATGAAAGTATGTTCTGTGCATAATTTTCAAAATTTACCCAGTGATCATTTTAAAAGAAAAAAATATTTTTTGTGGTAAACTATTGTTAGTCATAAGATATTTCAATGGAACTTCAATTTTATCATTTAAAACCTTTATTTACAAAACTGAATCTAAAACACTCGGTAATGTTTGGCTTGTATCTTCCCATTGAGGTTTAACACTGCAATTGATCAGTCTGTTATTGGCATATGTGCATACTGTGCGTATGCCTCGATATTGCCTGAATTCACAAGCTATTTGTAAGCAATGATGGATAGTGGCTAGCAGTGGAATGCAGTTTGACGCGCGTTTCGTCCTATTTGGGACTCGTCAGTTGGATGTACCTGCATCTGAGAGAGTTGATGTTCACTGTGTGACTCGAACCCAGTACCATTCGCTTGAAACGCCATCGCGTGATCCACTCAGCTACTGAGTTCTCATAGCCACTTGCTTGTGCAATGGGGTGAATTCGAATTCACTTGATATTGTCTGGCTTGTATCTTCCTATTGAGATTTAAGACTGCAATTGATCAGTCTGTTATTGGCATCCAACTGACGAGTCCCAAATAGGACGAAACGCGCGTCAAACTGCATTCCACTGCTAGCCACTATCCATCATTGCTTTCAAAATTGAATCTAAAACATTTTAATGTTCAAATATGATATTGATTATTTTGTTATAATCGTTGACTGTAGTTACTAAGTTATATCCATCAATATATACATGTATTTATTTAAATTACTTTAATCAATATTGAATATTTACTTTTCAAAAAAAACCCTGTTCAAACATTCATTCATAGTTGCCTTAATAACCGTTGCATAATTAATTGATTCTTCTTTTGTATTGTAGTTTACCTACATATGATTACCATCTCTCTCTGTCTCTCTCTCTCTCTCTTTGGTTTACACACTCAGTCACTCACATGCATAGAAATATAATTAAGACAAAGTAACCATTCAATTTTTAATAGATGTAAAGTGTCATATGACTAATAGATATCACCTTGAAGGAAATGGATTAGACAATGTTGGCCAAATAGACTTTCTAAGTTAATTCCTTGTTATGTTATGTAAATTCCACAATTAATTTTATCAAGACGGTTTCAATAACTCAAATGATAATTGAGTTAGTTATTAATATTAAGTGATTTAGTATTCATGTTGATCCCTGATATAGTCTGATGGGTATTGTATTATACAGTAGAAGTATGTTATGTAAAAGGCTTACCACAAGACGGATCAAAGACATCGTAAAATTTCGTAAGGTGATTAGCTAACAAACCCAGCTGTTTAGGGAGTTCCGTACTTTATTTAGATATTAGAAATAAAAGGAGCGACTTAGCCTAAGATTGGTTATAATACCATAAGTCCATTCAGTTTTATTCAGACAGTTCTAATGTATGATAACTTGGAGGTGTAATATCTGATTATAAGGCCTGTATTTTCACCACTGTTCACCCGCCTCCTGATATTTATGTTATTTTTTATTCACTTGGTGCTTTTTACTTGTATATTCCCATTGTTACTTAGGGCTGCAGTTGATCAGTCTCTTGTTGGCATATGTGCATCCTGTGGGGACTGCCTCAGTATTACCTTAAGTCACAAGCAATATAAGCAAAGATGGATGGTGGCTAGCAGTGGAGTTTAGGACGCGCGTTTCGTTCTATTCGGGACCCTTCAGTTAGACGTACCTGTATCTCAGAGTTGATCTTTACTCTGGGACTCGAACCCAGTACCATTCAGTTCAAACGCCATCGCGTTATCCACTTAGCTACTGAGTCCTGATAGCCACCTGTTTGTGCAATAGGGTGAAGTTTAAATCCACCTGGTGTTGTTTTACTTGTATCTTCCCATTGTTATTTAGGACTGCGATTGATCAGTCTCTTGTGGGTATATGTGCATCTTGTGCGTATGATTTGTTCATGGAATTTTGTTTTAGGTGCAAAGTATTTGTATTTGGCATATTACAGATATTATTATCTTGTTCAACATTAACAGACCTTCAATTAATCTCAACTTTTAATTGTTTATCCCTTTTATCGCACCAAAATTTGACAAGTTCAAAGTTAATATCGTCACTGATAGTAATTTGTAAGTATACCCTCCAAACCTGATAGTGTAATTGCTAATCATTCATTGAACATTATCAGTGCCTAGTTCAAGTGGAAGTGAATATCAAAATAATATCAACAGCTTTAGATCAGCCAGTCGTCACGCCATAGTAAGTGATGCTTTCATTTAATTATGCCCAAACAGATTGACATCAGTTGAGGAGCCGCTAAAGTATAAAGGTCATCAAAATAGACTTACGTTTCAGCTGAGAACTCTGGAAATGAGCACTAAAGTCCTACCTGGCATAAGAACCTAGAATCATTAGGCTTCAAAATGAACACATTACATTTCTAATTTACTGGTGTTTAAGTTGCATATTTACTGTGGGATATAAATTAGTTTATTGGAGGCTAAGAATGTGAATAGCTTAGAATTGCCATAATGAGACATCTGGTTTTTAATTACCAATCAATTAACTTCCCTTAATTACAGAAACTATCACCGACTCATTTACTCGATGATCATCAGTATTACACGCTAAACATGGCTTATTATCGTTTAATTTTAGAAACATGTTCAAAGAACAAAGTCAAGATCGGAATATTGATGATATTGACTGTAATAATTCAACTTCTTCGAATCGATTGATTAAAGCTAAAATCAGTTCGGCGGTATGCATATATTCCATATTTTATATGTATAGTACTCGTGATAACTAATAATATAACTAGGATTATGAGCTATAGTAATCAGTGTTGAAATAGAAATGTTAGTTATCACAATGACCACCAATATTAAAACAACTACTACTTAATTGCTTACTTACTCCTGTTACCCCACATAGAGGAGCATAGGCTGCCGATTAGGATTCTTCAATCAACTTTTTACTGGGGTCACCTTTCCAGTTGTTTCTAGTTGCTACTCATCGTTTTCATATCTGCTTCCAATTCCTAGCGCAATGTGTTCCATGGTCATTTTCTCTTCCGTCTGCCCTCAAGATTTCAAGTTAGCGCTTGCCTCGTGATGCAGTCTGATAATTTCCTCAAAGTGTGCCCTGTCCACATCCAGTGGATTTTTCCGATTTCCTCTTCACCTAGAAATAGGTTTGTTCCCTCCCACAGTAGGTTGTTGCTGATGGTATCCAGCTAACAGACGTTCAGTACTTCATGTAGATAATTGTTTATGAATACCTGCATTATTCTGATGATGGTTGTAGTAGTTGTCGATGTTTCAGCTCTGTACAACAGAACTGTCTTGACGTTCGTTTTGAAGATTCTGACTTTGATATTGGTTGACAGGTATTTTGAGTTCCGTATGTTCGTCAACTGTAGTAATGTTGTTCTTGATTTGCCAATCCTCGCCTCCATGTCTGTATCAGATCCTCCACCTCCGTCGATGATGCTGATGAACCAGGTACGTGTAACTTCCCACCTGTTCCAAAGTTTCTCCATCAAGTATGATTGTGTTGGTGTTCTCCGTGTTGTATTTGAGGATGTTTGTATTTCCGTTGTGTATGTTGAGGATTACTGATGCAGAGGTTGATACCACACTGTTTTTCTTGACTTGCATTTGTTGGTGTGTATTGAAAAGAATAAGCTAGGTGAAATGGTGTTGTTGGGATAAGCAGTCCAGCTTAGATGAATATTCAAACCTTCTTTCCTATTGAGAGCAAAAGGATTTAGCATTATGTGAAACGCTTCGGCCGCTCGCCTGTCTTTATAGTTGGAAAAGCCTTTCTGTTATATATATATATATATATATATATATATATATATATATATATATATATATATATATATATATATATATATATAACATCAATTTGGTGATTCTTGAAATTAGCATGTACTGCCAATTCTACATGACTATTAGGTTTGTTTTGTAACTTAAGTGTTCCTTGGCACTAGTTAAGATCTAACAGGAAGACTCTCCAATACAGAACTCATCGCAGTTGACACAACCTAATCTGTAGACACAATTTTGAGTAGAAGTGAAGAGAATTTTATCTTTAATTCTAAAGCGTTTCTTAGAGTGTTAGTTGTCTTTAATTTCATAAGTTTGCAATATCCGTTGTCATTCTTCTGTCCTACCTTGGCGGTAAGGTAAAACTGCGGTATCAATGCATGGAATTCCGTAAGGATTGTTATTTACAGACGGATAGTTTTGTTTTAATATGTTTAAAATTATATTTTTAGAAAATTTATTTAAACGTAGAATGTTTATTATATTCTCTTTTTCTGAGGTAGTGATTTAGGTTGCTCTTCTCAAACAAAAAAGATTTAGGGCTAGAAAAAGTTTATCAGGTTGCTTACTCTCACCCTTTGTCTTTCTCCTGGTGATCGACTGGATCATGAAGACATCAACATCTGAAGGGAATCACGGGATACAGTGGATATCTAGGATGCAGTTAGACGATCTTGACTTCGTAGATGATCTGGCCCTTCTATCCCAAACGCAATAACAAATGCAGGAGAAGACGACCAGTGTAGCAGCAGCCTCAGCAGTAGTAGGTTTCAACATACACAAAGGAAAAAGCAAGATTCTCCGATGCAACACAGCATGCAACAATCCAGTCACAATTGACCGAGAAGATTTGGAAGATGTTAAAACCTTTACATATTTGGGAAGCATCATTGATGAACAGGGTGGATCTGATGCAGATGTGAAGGCGCGGATCGGCAAAACAAGCGCAGCATATCTACAATTGAAGAACATCTAGAACTCAAAGCAACTGTCAACCAACACCAAGGTCAGGATTTTCAATACAAATGTCAAGACAGTTCTACTGAACTACGAAAGCCATCATCCAGAAGATACAGGTGTTTATTAATAGTTGTCTACACAAAATACTTCAGATCCCTTTGCTGGACACTACTAGCAACAACCAACTGTGGGAAAGAACAAACCAGATCCCAGCGGAGGAAGAAACCAGGAAGAAGCGGTGGAAGTGGATAGGACACACATTGAGAAAAGCACCCAACTGCGTCACAAGACAAGCCCTCACATGAAATCCTTAAGGCCAAAGGAAAAGAGGAATACCAAAGAACACATTACGCCGGGAAATTTAGATAGACATGAGAAAAATGAAAAAGAATTGGATGGAACTAGAAAAGAAGGCCCAGGACAGAGTGGGTTGGAGAATGATGGTCGGCGGCCTATACTCCATTAGGAGTAACAGGCGTAAGTAAGTAAGAAAAAGTTCTTCACTAAAAGGACGTACAGAGTTAAAATCAGTATGTCGATTTGAATGTGTTGGTTTTTGGTATATGACTAGATCTAAACTTTCATTGAAATTCCTTTTAACTAAACATACTAAGGATGGTAGTTCATTATGTTCATCTTCCTTTTCGAAAGCGAATTTAATGTGTTCTGAGAGAGTGTTTATGTGTTTGGAGAAATTTCTAAGAAGTCTTTTTAAATAGTGAGAAATGTATCATCTATACATCTGAGCCAGATGCGTAGTTTGATGGTGATGGGAAAAATAAACGTCTCAATGTGAAATATAAATAAATTTGCAACAATCGGAGATACTGGTGATTCCATGGCTACTTCATTCGTTTGCTTATATAAAGTCCCCTTGAATGTGAAAAGTGTTGAATTTAAGCACAGTTTGAGGGATTTCATGATGAAACTAATGTTTAATGGGCATCTGTTAGACAGAATATGATCATTCTCTAGTAAACCACTGACGAAGTCTAAACATCTACCAATTCGAATACCAGTGTAGAAAGATGCAATATCAAAGCATACCAATGTTTCGTATTTGTTGATAATCCCAAGATCCTTGATTTCAATTCGTATGAATCCTTTACAACATTGATTAGTTTGTATTGAAGTGGCTTCTGAATGCTGTTCAGATATTTAAATAAAGCATATGTATGAGTATTTGTGAAGTCCATTATGGATCTTAGAGGAACATAAGGCTTGTGAATTTTTGGTAGCCCATAGAAGAGCGATATGGTGTTAGATTTAGGGTATAAAGTAAACCATAGGGAAACGTCAATAAATGGCTTTAGTTGTTTCAGAAGTTCACTTGTCTCTGATTTGACTTTATTTTTAGTCATTTGAACATTTTTTGAGTCTATCTTTAACTATAGTCCTGTCGATAGATAGTTATGAGCTTTTTTTTCGTAGTCGCTTTTGTTCATGACCCCTATTGTATTGCCTTTGTCAGCCTTGGTAATGACAATCGTTCTATCATTCTGCAGTGAGAGCAAAGTTTTCCATTCTTCTTTGGAAATATAAGGTGGAAGGAATATTTGTTTGGTTAATATATCAGAAGTTTTTTGATGTAAGATATGCAATTGCTTGTCTGGAAGCTTTCGAGTACGACTTCTAGAATTGTGACGATTTCTAGAGTACTGAAAGGTTTTCTATGTAAATTTAAGTGCTGTTTCTAGTAGAGTGATTTTATGGATACTAAGAGTTCTCTTTGAGAGATTATGAACTACCTGTAAATCATCAAAGGTAGTTTTTGTGAGTGATCTTTTCTTTTCTTGTAATTCTTTTAATCCTTTCAAATTCCTTGATTTGCCTGAATTTTAATACATTTAGATAATGAGTCTGTTTTTCGTTGAATACGGCGAAAATGGAAGTATATAAGGGAATGAGAATTGAAACTCCGATCAGCTCATTTAAATTTTTAATGCATTCCCGATATTTTTCTGATGTGAAAGTACATTCGTGGATACGTTCTTGCAAAAAGATTCATGATGCACATCGAGCAATATGAATAGATCGTCATGAACGTTCTAGTGGTTTAATAATCAGAGATTTAGGAATAATGTTATTGTTTAGACCAATTTCGTGTGAGTAGGTACCCCTCGTTCTATTGATAGATCAAACTATTAAATGTATCTTATATCATAAATGAGTTTGGGGGTGATTCTAATGATAATATATATATATATATATGACTAGTTTAGATGAGAATAAGATGCCGCACGTTATAAAGTACTTTAACCATAATAGATCATTTAGTAAACTAGTGAAACTCGCCTGGACTGTTTTCGGAAACCGTTGCTATTGCGAGAGTTCACTATTTGGGTTTCTAGTATGTGTTCAAAGAGATTTTGTCCTATACTTCTATCCAATTTTCTCATAGTCTTCTCCTATTAGCTTAAAAATCTATAAAAACGAATAATTCCACAGGCGAAGCCCACTAAAACCACTCACCTCAGTCGAAGATTCATCATTCCTTTATGATTTACCTTTGCTGATATGTTTTCGATTCACATTACTCGGCGGGTTGTTTAGGAATAAATAGTTTATATACTCAGCATAAAAAATGAATATAATGCTCGTACATTAGAAGTAAAAGATCTAGACAAGGAAGGATAGCATATTACTTAAGACTATTACTACTATTTTAGTAACTGTTAATATCCCGAATAGAGTAACTGATGGTGCTCCATTTAACCATTTTTAGTCACTCGCTCAGAATCCTCGTTGTTACTTGTCGATTCTGTGATTATTTTTTTTAGATAAACGGTCTAACAACACGTATGGTGATTCATGATCTAGATAAGCCAGTTTTAGCCTATCATACAAATTCATCTTCACCAAATATTACTTGACATTGGCAATATTGAGACCTAGTGTGGCTTTGATTGTATTAAAAAAATATTTTGCATTATTTCCTCTGTACTATTTAAACTTGTATTAATTTAATGTTTGGTTATTTATTTACTCTGAAGAAGTTGCTTACATAAGGTTACGAAACATCGTTAGAAATAAAATTTTTCTACTTTTTGGGATATAACAAAGAATAAATTTATTACTGAGTCTTTGTCCAATGTTTAACTTATTTTGAAACTATCAATCCCAACCTTGATATAGTATACTTATTTATTACTTTCTGTTTTGTTCATTTTTTCCACTCATAGTATAAATAGGAGTCATTACATCTTCAATTAGTATATATTTGTCCAAAGCTCTAGTTTTATTTTGTATTAAACCAGTATTTTACAATATTCATGATTGTGTATGTTATAAGTTTTTGTCTTTTCCTAATTCATTACTTTGCATTCAGTCAGTCAGCTACAATGTAAGACCGGGCACATACGTGCATCGGTCCAAGTTGCCATACCGCATTAACACAACAAGATGAACACCGAATTCATAGAAATAGTTAGTTCAATGTTGGTAATATATATAAAAGAAAGATTGTATATAAGGAGATAGTGCAGAAAGATATAAAGCAATTTTAATCTCCTAGTTTAAGGGAAGACAGAGAATGTATACACCTACGCCATTGTGATTTATTTTAAGCCATGTCACTCAGAGTCTCAAACCATTGATATTACGATCGTCACGTGGACCCCAACCAAGTAGTGTGCATCTATCAACATTCATTGTCATTTCACGATTGTTATTTTTCTTTCTTTTTTCTATTTGTACATTTTTTGTATTAGATATCAAAATCAAAAAAAATTAATGTTACCAATAAAAAATTGACAATGTATTTCGATAAAGTGGTCGGGACATTAAGTAATATATGTAAGTTAATGGAATATCAATTCCTGCATCCATATATATGTGAATCTCTTTACATCTAGTAAAATTATATTGATATATTTATCTTATCTATTAATAAAATATAATTCCCTTAATAATTGAATTCATGAGTCAATCAAAGTTAGACCATCATGGAAAACCTGAAAGCACTGGATCACCGTTATATCCTACTATGGGACTCCTCAATAGTGAGCATCCACGATCCCACCCCGCGAGACTGATAGGTCCTGGGTTCGGGTCTTGCGGAGGGCGAGGTCGTGGATGCGGAATGCTGAGGAGTTCCATGCTGGGATGAAACGGCCGTCCAGTGCTTGTAGGTTTTTCATGGTGGTCTAACTTCAGTTGACTCATGAATTCAATTATTAAATTATTACAATCGTCAGAAAAGCCATCTCAGTTTTCTTTTAATTTATGATAATAAGTTGGTTAAAATAAATCATCTTTATAGTTCAACCACTATATAAACTTCAAACGTTTAATTCATATGATATATTTACCATAAACAGTTTTTGGAAGGTGTTGACTTCTAAGTAGATTTCTAGACTCTCATAATCTTCACCAATTGAACTCTGAATGAAATAAGGAGTTTCAACTAAAAAATCAATCTTCAAAATCTTGGGGTTTCTAAAAAAATTTGAAATTTTTTATAACTGTCTCATAACACAACCTAAATAGATTGAGAAGATAAGACTGAGTAATGAGTTGTGCCTACGGAGAGTGAAAAAAGTACTAGAAACTCGTACGGATTTCGTAAGTCGTCAGATTTCTCCTAACAGAGGTATATAAAACGTAACGAGGGCTAGTTGAATAATTAACTTATCGTAACTCTCTCATACCATGATCTTGTCCATTTTATTTGGTTTTTCTCATTATATCCCACATTAACTTTTTATTGACTAATCAATTATTAATATTGTACCCAAGGATCTAAAATAATCGCTAGCAAAGTATTGAGAGATTACTATCTGTATTTGGCATCGAGTTAAATTAACATGGTCTAGTTCTTAGGTTTGACCAAATTCTATCGATCTTTTCGATTATGTAACTTCTAACCTAAAGTAATTCAACGTTCTGGTCAGCAGTAAGCAGTAGAGAGAAATGTTTTAGAGATGGATTTCGTTTATTTTCCTGTAAATGAAACTACGGAAACTAATGTATTCTAAGATTCTGGTTATTTTCATCGATTGACAAAAGCATTAGTGACTAGATTAATTTTTATGCAAAAAATTATACTTAAAGATGCGAATCTTACTACACTGTAAAATTCAGTTGATATCCAGAAATATTCAACTTTGCACCAAGTAATCTAAAGGATCACTAGTCGTTAGGATTCCTCGATGGTAATATTTCTGATTGTTGCTCTAACTTATTGTGATTTTAATCTCGTATCCAGCATTTGTTTCTTATAGGTTTAAGATACACTACGGTAATGGTTATCAGTTGGACACAAATTTAATATCAAGGTTTTCTGCGAATCATTTTGAGCTGCTTAATGTTATATACCGGTCACTTATACTTGAAACGAGAAGCCATTACAATTGACATGATGTGAGTGAAGAACACGGAAGACTGGCATAAGTGAAGACTTATAAACATCAAAAACGGGACGAATCTAGTGAAAAAATACACTCATTTATCCACTGATTTGCACATACATTTGATTATTAATCTGTAATACGACATCTTTATGAAGTTGTAGAGAAATCGCACGCTTCACGTTACTGTTAAACATAGTTCATGTTGATTTAATACAAGAATATCATATCTTGAATAAATATCTAACTGAAGTAAATCAGTGTTATACTGAATCATATAGCACATTGAAAATGAAACAAGCGATCTAAAGAGATCATTCTCTTTCTGATACCTTCAAGTATCTAGTCCAGTGAGACGAAAGTATTAGTGTGTCATTAAAATGAACAATATTTCAATACAACGTTTGCTGAATGTGACATTTCTACCAACTAAATCTCATGAACCTTTCTTTAGACCTCTGTAAAAGTATCTGGAAGAGAATGATCGCTGACAGAATTGATCACAAAATGGGCGTATCAAACAAGCTACTTCAAACAGTGGTTTACTAATTTTTAAACATAGAAAATTTAATCCATAGATTAGCTAACAAATTACCTTGTTGACTGGTTTTCTTTTCTCTCAAAACTTTTATAGCTGATATTAAGAAAAAGTCTGATGAAATAAATGTATCACAGAATGAAGAAAGAACTGAATGTCAAAACACTGAAAGGCAACTTGATAATGAAACTATCACGACTAAATTTAGTATTAGTGCTGTCACTACTAACAGTAATATTAGTAGTGTTGATAGTTGTACTGAAATTAAGAGTTATGGTGATAATGATAATGCGTTTCACAATCCGATCAAGAATGAAGCAACAAGTAATCATTGCCAACACCAACATCAAAATAATCACCATAAAAATGAAATTAATGCAACAAATGAGGAAATTCCAGTTTCACCGAGTAGTCTCACAGGTCAATCCAGTAGTTTTTCTCATTTGAATACATCATCTCCAATGTCATATGGTGATGAAATGAATTCCATTCCTGTAACCAGTTCAATAGATGATTTACTTAGTTTAGATCAATATGATCAAGATGACAGTATGTTGAAGGACTTTTCATCACAAAATCAGTATTCCATTGATAGAACAAATAATTCAAGTTTGGAAAGATGGTTATCGCAATCTGAATTACTGAGGTGCAATACAAGAGTAAAAGTAAGTTTATTTAATACTGACTAGTTAAAACAGATCACATTATGAAATGAATTAAGTTCAACGACCTTTAAGAACCTGAAAACAATAAGCAAATGTTTTGTCTCAGTACGGAACTTCTCAATAGTAAACATTCATTCCCATCAATCCTTTGTAGTAATAATTAAAACAGTAGGTCCTGGGTTCGAATCTCGCGAGGTGCGGGATCGTGAATGCGCATTACTGGGGAGTCCCATACCAGGACTAAACGACCATCCAGTGCTTCCAGGTTTTCCATGGTGGTCTGGCTTCAATTGACTCATGATTTCAACCAGTGAAATTTCTAAAAATCTCCACAAAACCCATTCTGAAAATATACTTATTCTCATAACGAATTTCTGTTTGAGATATTAAGTTAAAACAAGGGAACTTTCTCCCCTTTTGATCTGTGAAATTAATTCATAGTCAAGGCTTTTCATTGGAGAGACTGAGTTCAAATCTATATGAATTCACTATAGATTAATAATCAAAGTGATTTTGTTTGCCCTCAAATGTTATTGCAGTACATTCATTTATGCCAAGATGAATAATTAAATATTAGTGTTATTGTGTTCGTTGAGATATGTGGTTTATTTGAGAAACTGTCGTTCTGGACAACAGCATATAGGTCCTCCCTACTTCTACAAGACGTAAGTTCTGACAGCTTAATCCAGAACCACAAAGAAAGCTTCTCAATGAAATCACCTGGCTCAAAGAATACAAACAAACAAGAACCATCCACTGGAGTTGCAAATGTTCATCGTCGTTTCAGAATAACAGGATCAAACGAGTTTACATTAAAATCCGCTGTACAAGCTATTTGTTGTTGATTTGATTTAGCTACAAGATTATAAATTTAACTTGCATGAATCTATACTAGTAAGCTGGCTAGAAAGCATCGTGTTTGAATCCTCAAATTGTCACATGAACGTTCGTCATGGTGGTTTTGAAAATTAAAACTGCTGTTACATCAGTAAATTCTGATTAGACGTAGATAACTACAGTATCACACTGGCCATTTATTTAAATTTTTCAGGCTATTCTTATTGTGATTTTGTTTACCACATTCCATTGTTTTCAGCAGCATTTTCCAAGAGATGGTTATTTCTGGTCAGTCGCATTATTTATCAAACTTGGTACGAAATTAGTCCCCACTAGCCCAAAAGGTAAACTGTAGTTGAATTATATATATATATATATATATATATATATATATATATATATATATATATATATATATATATATATATATATATATATATATATGATCTAAAAACATCAGCCTCATAATAGCTTTATTCAAATTGGGATTGAGAATTAAAGATTCGTTGGTAGCATGTGTTTTTTGTACGCAATCATCGTGAATACCAACAACTACCCATGTCTAGATACGTTTGAATGGCACATAAATAATATAGATCCGTATGTTTAGGCGTAATAGATCACTTTTTATCTTGATCCTCTTCTCATTATAAAGTAAGCACAACTAACATTCACTCATGACACTGATTATACTCAAATTACTTTATATCACTGACGAAATTATCATTGAATTAATAATATCATCTTACGGCATCTAGATCTTTTCCCGTTGAATGATGGAACATTCCACTTTTCCAGTTGATAACTTAGTCTGCACACTATTAAATGGCAGAGTTCGTCAGTTAACTAACTGCATCATTTACTCTTATATTTCAAAATTTCATTCTGGTCAGAACCTAAAATCGTAGTTGGGAAGATAGAAACCGTTTCACTCTTGGGAAGAGCAAAATTCATATTATGAACAGTTCTCTTTGTTTGTTCCAACTTGACATTTAATCTTAGAATTCATGTTGCTTGAATAAATGTATGTTATTTAATAGCAATACTACTTACTAAGGTCTAAGTAATGTAACTTAACTAATGAATTGTGGAAAAGCACCTGGGCATGAGACTAACCCCTCATTTATTTATTCGTTATCATTTACGATGCTAACTTAGTTTAAAATGATTTGGTATTGTGCGGTTTTGAAATTGCATGAGACGAATTTGCTGCTGTATGGTGAAACAGCCACTTAAACAACTTGGACTAAATGATTCTAGAGGATAGGGAGTGAATTAAGTTTAGCTTTAAACTCGAATAGACCCGGGTATGGAAATTCGTAAACTGACCGTTCCAGGTCGACGTTTTTATGTATAGATCTCTGTAAGGATCCATCTTACATATTGACTAGTCAACTGTTCTTAAGGAATAGGCGAATATGATATAGTGACACAATAGGTGATGAACTAATTCATATTCAACAGAGAAGCATCAGAAATGGTTGTCCATTGAGATTCTACGATAGAAATTTAACACAATGACAACATCTTGAAAAAGCACTCACAGTTTAAAGGAAAACCTGTTACGAATATGGAATTTAAAGGAGACATGGATGCCGAACTCTTGTCCTACCATTCACGGATGTGTCAATACATTTACTTGCTCCTGCGGGGCAGGTCACAGTGGCCGCACAAAACCACTTGACGCTAACTATTAAAGGAGAAGGAAAAACAGTCACCAGTTCAATACAGATACATCTAATAATCTCTGAACACGTCGCTCCAAATGAATCTTCCTTCAAAATAATCTACACAATTAAAGAAACTACATCGAAGGGAGAACGAATCAAAAACTTACGCACCGTTGAGGCATTAGCGATTCACCAATTCAAGCACAAACTCACTGTGCACAAACGACACATCCAACCTATCATTGTTCCTTAGCCCTCACTCCCTTCTCCACTATGTTTTGCTCTTGTTTCCCTTTCTAGCTTACTGTTCTGTAATTCTAAACCATAATCAGTTATTACTATCCTTCAAAAGTCCTTCATGGTTATTATTCACTTATCATTATAACCTTAATACTACTCAGTTTTCTTCATATCTGTTCAGTGGACAATTATCTTTTATAATTCTCAACCGTAAATTATTTTCATCCTCCTACACTACTCTCACATTCTGATTATAACTCAACCTCCTTTGATATTTCGAGTCTCGAATCCCTTTGTCATGCGCTCCTTTCTACTTTTCTATGAGCATATATTTACCAAACAACTACAAATACGAGTGTACAGCTTAAGTAAATGATTTCATTGTAGAGGAAAATTTCTTCAGTGAATTCTAATTATTTTTGTTTGATGACACATTGGGTTTTGTTTTAATTATTACGAACTACTATCAGTCTGACTGAGCTAAGACTTCAATTAGATGTAATTAAGATATGGAATTTCAAACAACCGGAATGGATTTCTACCATCATAACTGATTAGAACATGGCGTAAAGAATTTAATTTTACAATAGTCGTACTAGTTATTCACCATAATATTGTTATTGAATTGCTGAAAACTTACTAAACAATCAGTAGATCATTCGAAGGTAGTAAACAATTATATACTTACTTACTCCTGTTACTCCTCGTGGAAAAGCATATGCCACCCACCAGCACTCGCTATCCAACACTGTCCTGGGCAATATTTTGCAGCTCCTTCCAGTTCCTATTCATCCTCTTCATATCTGCTTCTATTTCACGATATAGTGTGTTCTTTGGCCTTCCTCTTCACTTTTTCCATTCAATATTCCAAGTTATGGCTTGTCTCATGGTGCAGTTTGGTGATTTCCGTAATGTATGTCCTAGCATTTTCCATCGTCTTTTCCTAATTTCCTCTTCAGCTGGAAGCTAGCTTGTTGCTGATGCTGATATTGAATATTTAACGTAGACAATAGTTTATGAATACTTTTACCTTCTTGATGATGATTGTAGTAGTTCTTCACGTTTCAGCTCCGCCTGTAGATTTTCTAGAGATAATTCCGGTCCCAAGCTAGGGTAAACGAGGTCAGCAACCTCATCCCGTAGAAAAAATCTTACTAAAAAAACGCCAACCAGATTAAATAAACAATCATATACTAGGACAAAATCATTATCTGATCATCTCTTTTTATCACTATATCTCACTGAATTACAATAGTCGACTTTTGACATGAATGATTTCTGTTCCAATGAGATATCACATTTTTAACAGTTTCACAAATATTTTTCTTGATTATATGTTACCCTAAATTCACGTAAATTATATTATTATATTTCTGTGAAACTGTATGTAATAGAGAAAATTATAGGTCATAATGGCCACAGTAGATGTATATTTAGTAACCGTAGTCAATCTATGAAAGGTACTGTAAATCAACCAATTATGTTGAGATGAGATTATCATCTAGAGGAGGGAACTCGTGAACTCAAGAATATTGACTAACTCGTGAAAAACATCTTCTACAATGACTTAATAGAAATTAATCATTTCACTACTATTTCCAAAAATCAAATGAAGATAATCAATCAAAACAAAGATGTCTGATCACAGCATCGTTCAGAATAGGAAGTTTAATCACCAAAGATGATCAGAATACAACAATTTTTTCTTTCATTTAAACCATTCAAATACAACTCAGTATAGAAAGTGTGTTCAACTTAAATCCTACTGATGAATTTAAACAAATAGAAAGCTTATATAATTTAAGTACTTTAGTTAACAATTTCAGGCTAATTAAAGTACCATATTCGTACGTTAAATAGACCAAGAAACAACTGATTGGAGTTATTGGTCGCGATTCAGGAGGCTAGATTTCATCACATTGATTAGCTTCCGATGTTCAGTATCTAAATGTATCTTGAATACTGTCTAATTAAATGGATGTTTTCACACCGACAAATTGTGGTAATTAATCGTTAATATCGTTAAAATAAGAAAGATTAGTTCCTTAAGAGATCACTCTTTTCTCAATCAGTATATTCCGTCTATTTTTAAAATAGCACAAAGAAAACGACACAGAATTACTTCTATTGAATGTAAATATATTTACAATCAGATGGTGGTTGGAGGTAGTCGATAGGTTACCCTGGACCCGGGTTTCGTGCTACTTGGCACTCGTCAGCAAGGTGTACCTGTAATCTTGAGGAAACTGGTGCTCCCTGGCGGACTCGATCTCGTGTCACCCAGCTTCACAGTCAAAGACGTTATCACGACTGACCTCCTGTAGGACTGAGATGTAATCATAACTGATTGAGCACTGGGTGGCGATCTGCATTAATAAGGACTAAACACGCATGACATTGATCGCCACCCAGTGATCAATCAATTGTGATCTTTACAATCACCTTAGAAATAGTAGTATAAACAGTTCGATATTAAGATAGTACCATTAAAGGCGATTAAAATAGTAAACATAAAACGGGGGAAAGTAGTCAACAAAATAAGATTTATTCCCATAAAAATCAAAAGGTGTTAATCATTTCTAATCATTAAAAGTGAAGTGCTTCAAAGTTATCACTTCAAGTGTCTGGCTCACTGAAGAAATGAACTCGGAACAATCAAAGAAGAAAAAATGGTATCAATTCGTCAAATTATCTATCGTCAGTCTCTACTGTATGTCGACATGTAGGCTTCTAGGTCGGGCATAGAAAAAAACAGTTGGAATAAACGGTTTTAAGATGTTTGATGACAAAACTCAAAATCGCTTATCGTAACACAAATAAACTCATTTTTCTCATCTCAGTAATATTGAATTTTAGCAATAGTTATGACCTTAACGTCTGGCTTTTCTATCACGCGACTTATCCACCAATCCGAATTCGACTTATACAAATCCTCACTCTTTGCCAACCAATGACGTTCAACCGGTATGAGCAGTCTAGCCTCCTTATTGGTCCTATGTCCTCCTAGCTCGTCCACTAGAGTCCAGAACACAACACCAGTTTCTGCAATGTGAATTGGACCGAATCCAATCGAATCGTTTATTTTAGACATACTCGGTTTATATATCAATCAGATAGACCACAACATACCATAAGATAGAAAATAACATGTGTACACAAATATGCGAAAAAGTGGCTATGAACGCGGGAGATAGTAATTAATAGACTGAACATAGATTAAGAACCGTAAATCGCACAATAATAAATTATAGATCAAAATAAAGCTTATAATAAGAGGAATATAGATACATATAATGTAATTATTGAATAATTATATAATGAGAATATTTATAGAATATTAGTCCATTAATAGTCCTCAGAAGTTACCTGTAACTTAATCTTCACTCGGATATAACAAATACTTTGCCATTTTGTATACTGATATAAAATAAGAACGCCAGAATTATGCAAATTTGTACTAACTGAAAAACTCAAGTTTTGATAAGCAAAGATTTATTGGTAAAGGTGAACTATGGGGGCGAGTAAATGACGAACATGCAAGTAGCTTTAAGGTCACAAAGCCTATACCAAACAACATATCGTCTACCGATGATGAAATAAAGAATGGAATTAAGGTTAGATTTTTGATCATGAAATTACATCAGCTATAATAAGCTAATGCTTGTGATCATATCGATGATTGCTATTCCTGCAAAATCCAAGATGCTTTACTTTAATTCATTTATTCATAATTTTGTCTTCTGATTGGTTGAATAGATCAGGAATTCGTCAACCTCATTTAAAATGTTCTTCAAGCTCACTTATAGTTCAGCTTGATCAATTTTTTAAGTAGACGAAATTCAAACATGGAAAATGTTCGGTTGTTGAAATAAAATAAAATAAATATGTTTGTTTGATGTACTACTTTTAAAGCTTGATGTATCAGTGATAGTCTTGATTGGTTTGTAAGCATAGATAGATATCGTACTTCGTTACATGTATGAGGCCCTGCCTAGTATTATAGACTCCTTTCCACTATTAATTTCATAGTACTGAACTCTGGATTTCACACTGTGGCGGTAAATCGTTATTTAGTTCCGACTACCTGGTTCTTAATCATATGTCGAAATTAAGCGGCGCGTACCACTTGGTCAAGTATCGTGATCTAGTGTGTCCAGTCGATTATCTTTTAAGTCATTGTTTCGTACGTTTAGTATCGACAAATCATTTATTTAATTCTTTAGAACACAATCACTAGTCAATATAGATCATGCGACGAAGTGACCGAATGTAAACTATGCAATATCTCTTGTATAGACAACCATTATGTTCTAAAATAAGTCAACTGCATACTATCCTGTACATTAATTTTCTCAGGTAAAACTAATCCATATGTAAAAATCAAGCACAATGGAAGTGTTTTAGCTAGAAGTCGAATGATTCCAAATAGTTGTAATCCTATATGGGATGAAAAATTTTGGTTTCGTTTATGGAGCTTAGATACGCCAATAGAGGTAAGTCATTGTTAGATCACCCAGATTTTCTTTATTTCTGTTTAGTAATTATTAAAGTTAATTTTATAAACACAGAACAAAGAAGTACTTTTTTCCTCTCTCTTAGGTTTTAGTCAAAGGATTCAAGGATGATGTCACCTTACTGTTGTACTGTTCAGTTTCAGAGATTTTTAACGTTTTATTAAAACAATTCTTCATTATGAATCCAAACCATTGGTATTTTAAGTATAATTTCACGAGTGAAATAAATTAACCTGTCTATTGATCTGACGGCTTCGAAAAGTACGATGAAGCCCCCAGAAGCTCTAAAGAACCTGAAGAGATCCCACATAATCAGCTTAATAGAGCCTTCTAGAATATCAACGTGGCATGCAACAGTTATACAATAGCATAATTTGCCTCCCTGCGGATTAGCTGAATTAACATGATGTTATAACCAGTAATAATAACTAAAAATACCCAAGTTTTCCTGAACATTTTCGATAATTCCCAGTAATCCGTTCTTCTGCTTCTTCTGTCTTTTCATTAGCGACTGTTGGGTTCCGTATGTTAGAGGGCCGTTAGTTGTATGTCATAATCTACCGTAACCGAGTAGAGAACGTATCATCTTCCTTAAAAATGCAAATTACTAACTATTGTATGGTACACTCTGTACAGTAAGCCCTTTAAACATTGGCATCTTAGATTCTAACAAGTCTGCAGATATTTTCGATTTTTAGACTGAAGGGAGAAAAGAAGTAAGGAAACATAAAACAACATATACTTCAAAGTTTAGATTAAACAAAAGGACAAGGGTATTTACGAGATTATAGGTCAATTGAAGACTCTAGAAGCTAAAATTGGTAGTATATTTGATAATTGTACAATCAGCGTGCTATTTTTATTGAGAGTTTCCAAAGAATGCTGATTTGTCAATATATGTTTAGTCTTTGGATAATTTTTACAGAAAACCATCGCTGACTCTTTACATTGTGCGTCTCATTTCATCTAAATATGATGTAGCTATTTTCAAGACAATCAGCAGTAAGTGTTTGAAACAAACCTAAAGTTTGATGAAATTCTTTGTAGAGCCTCAGGTATCTTCTTATATGTGCAAAGTATTTTCTTATTCACGACCAGGATACAACAACACCTCTTTTAAAATTAGTCTTTTCTGTCCAATTTTTGTCTAATGGGATTCAATTATTTCAAACAGAGACAGGTTGTACACCTCATTTCCGTCCTTATCTGAAAGGACATTCTGTCTCCCGTATTGTGAAGGAATTCCAAGCACCCATATAAGTTGCTGTTCTGGCTGTCAGAAGTAAGATTGACCTGATATGCACTAAGAAACTCGGCTTTCATCACATAGTGTCAGAACTCTTGTGTACGAAAACCCTTCAAATCCCAGGAAAGAGTTTAAATGGTTTAAATGTTTATTCCTGGTTAGTGTTTCTAACAAGGTTCTCTCTCACAGATTTAGTTTATTAATTCAATGCCAAACCGTCCTTATTTACCCGGACTTGGGATTAGCAGTAACTGTAGAAGGACTCCATCCAGACGGAGTTACACTTATAATTTGCTTAGAATAAATGGTCGACTTAAGAAAAACTGACTACCATGGATGTATATTTGTTTTTCAATTATCGTCTACATTACAAGCATTAGTCTAAAACACCCTCATGTATAATTGATAATATTTCTTCAGGAAATATAATAACCATAATAGAATGTATCTTCTGACTGTTTTAATGATATTGTAAAAGGGAAACGTTTGTTTAATTATGTCATAATGAAGTGTAGATCTATGAAAATAAATGGTTTCTAAGTAAACGAAAACTTACATTAGTCCTAAATTCACTCGGTATTATTTGCTTGTATTTTTCCATTGCTGTTAAGGACTGCAATTGATCAGTCTCTTGTTGGGTTATGTGCATCCTGTGAGGACTTCCTCAATATTGCCTTAAGTCGCAAGCATTATGAGCAAAGACTGATAGTGATTAACAGTGGAATATAGTTTGACGCGCGTTTCGTCCTATTTGGGACTCATTAGCTGGATGTACCTGCATCTCGGACTTGTTGATGTTTACCCTGAGACTCGAACCCAGTACCCTTCGTTTCAAACACTTTCGCGTTATTCACTTAACTACTGAGTCCTGATAGCCACCTGCTCGTGTAATGCGGTGAACATCAACTCTGGCATACAGGCACATCTAGCTGACGAAACGCGCCTGCTGGACTACACTGCTAGTCACCATCCATCATAGCTTACATTAGTCGTATTTGCAAATTTTAGGTATTAAATGCTTATTTATGAGAATTATTTATCCATTGTATTTTAGTATTCTGATTGCATAGCTGTTTAAACTAATTACTTAAGTGTTATTCAATCAGTCAATTGTGAACAATATAGATCTTGGATCAATTATTCATCATTTCCATTTGTTACGGTTTGTGTTAGCGCACAAAGAGTAAATTGTCTGAATACAAGCTGTGTAAATGATAATAGAAAACTAAGCATAAAGAATATGATTTAAAAAGGAAGAATGAACAGAAATTTAAGAATTAGAAGTAAAAAGAGATACCAGGACTTAATATGTGAAGAGATATATTTGGTCAACACACCTAGACTCCCAATCCTCTTTTGTTTATCTGAACTCGGAAATGGCAGTAATTTCAGAAGGGCTCCAGATGAAGTGACTAATAATGTTATTCAACCATTAAAATGTATATAAACGAGGAAAATTACTTATCTCGAGTTTATTTTATAAGTCTTCTCTCATTTATTCTGTGTAAAACATTCTGAAGAAAGTTGACTGCAATCTTTCTCAGTCTAGTTAGTTTGTCAAGTTTCTTGTAATGACTATTAATAATAGTTGATTAGAAAATGTATTCAATAAATTTCGTTCTGTTTAGGCGTTCAACTGTTTGATTCGAAGTAGGAGATCCATTTCTTTATTGAAACATGGACTGAGCATGCATCCTAAAATACAAAATTGTTTATTTAAACAATAAGTTATCATGAAGTTAATGTGTTTACCTTGTTTAAGATACAAAGCATTTTATATAATATCAGGTGCTTTTTTAAGAAAACAAATTGACAAGATGAGCTGGTTTTAGTTGTATCACGATTGAAAACTCTGAACCACTGGATGGCTGTTTTGTACAGTTTAGAACTCTCCACCAGCTCGTAATCACCACACTAACAGAGACAGGACCAAGGATTCTCATACATTACGATACGCACATTACCTTTAGACTACTCAGTTGATATGTAATGACCGGTATTTCCCACTTTATTTAATTCGTAATATTGCTTCATCGTCATTATCTAGCAATACAATGTTTAATTAGATTGAATTCCATTGGTCACAGCCGCTCTCTCTAAAACAAACCGATAATTCTTCTCTATGGGTTTCTTTATGCAAACGACTTTATGTGTTATTTTACTTTCGTAGTTGAAGGTCTATCATCGTGATCCATTTAAAAAGGATTCTTACATTGGTCGGACGCAATTCGGGCTAGTGGATTTAGATTTAGACAAGTAGGTATATATTGATATTTTTGTTAAAAATCATTTTAACATGTACCACAGACAACAACACAGTTGTGAAAACAGGAAATAACAATCAATAAAAAATAGACTGAGTGTTATATGTCAGAAATAACCAAACGTTTCAGACAGTACACACGGCAAAAACTACGGGATTAGTAAAAGAAAGTATAAAAGGAATCAGGACATCGGAGTATGAATATAATCGGATAAAATAAGAGGTTTATTGTCAGTAAGGGGTTGAGAAAATTGTTGAATTTCACTGAAATCATGAGTCCATTTAAGTCAAACCACCAGTGAAAACTCAAAAGCACTGGAGAGCCGTTTCGTAATATTATGGGACTTCTGAACAGTGTTCATCCATGACCTCGTGTATGGGGTAATTATCATTTAGTCACCAGTGACTAGCTTCGATTGGAAATTTCCAGAGTTCTAGTGAGAATCCATGGCTAGTAGATCTGATGTGTGTCTTCTGTGAGGCAGTTAATCAACAAAGACAATCTAATATGGTCGCTAAATTTCATAACTTGATCGAAATTAGATATTAAAATACCGTCGAATGCCGGCTCGGTGATCTAGGGGTTAATTGTTTGCGCGTGAAACCAGAAGTCCTGTGTTCGACCCCTGAGTGTAGGTTTGTAGATTGTCAATGCCTAAAAAAGCCGCACTATGACGAAATAGCCGCCGATCACTCTTAAGTTTTGATTGGTGGTTTAACCTAGACTGGTTCATGATTCCAAATAGGTTTACCCTTTACAATTTGAAATACACCATCATATTAGCTGAAATTATTCAAACTACTGATTTTTATTAAGTAGCTTAACACATATAGGAATAGTCAATTAAAAGAAAGACAGTTACAAATGGAAATAATAGTTTGGCATGGAACTATTGTAATCGCCACCATGTTTGTAGTGTATTAGTCCCAACAAGTTCATCTTCTACATGATTTCTATAATAAATTATTAGAAGTAAGTGTTGGCGATACATAGTTGCGATATCGTAAGTGAGGCGACCTATTTATACGGATAAAATTAATATTTTAGAACTGAAAAGGGTTTTATTACTCTAGTCTAGAAGATTCAACAACTGAAGAAACTCAGCATACAACCAAACCGGTAAATATTGTATCTCAAAAGATTTAAAAATTCTATATTTGATTTTGTATTACTAGTTGAAGTTGCATGCTACTAAGAATTCATGTGTTATAAAGAAAAAATCTATTTCGGTTAACAATTGTTTTTAATAGTTCTTCATTGGACATCACCTCATAATTGAAATGACCTTCACTTACTTGTTAATACCCAACAACTATTCATAACTGGTATTATATAAAGAAAGAAGGCCGAGACGATATGACTAATCATTAACAGTAAATACGAAACGATACCTGAATAATATCAGATGGGTTTTTGTGGATATGGTAGCAATTTCAATGGTTAAGATCATGAGTCAGTTGAAGCTAGACCACCATGGATAATCTGGAGTCACTGGACGGTCGTTTCATCCTATTGTGGGACTCCTCAGCAATGCGTATTCACGATCCTGCCTCGGGAGATTCGAAAACAAGACCTATCGGTCTCGCGCGCGAAGGCTTAACTTTCAGGCCAGTGAGCTGGCCAGTATCCAACAATGTTAGTGTCTAACTTCAACTAATAAATAAATAAATAATCAGAAAATACTTATAGAATTACTCAGTAACTTAGTTGCATTTGTTGATTACGTAATTCTTATTGTATATCCTATTCAAACATTAAGTTATTGATTAATTAATGTTTAGTGTCACTCAAATCAATTTATTTAAACCTAACCATTGATCAACATAAACGAAACATGTAAAACATAAAGTGTTCAGGTATCTTTCAATGGTTCAGATCATGAGTCAGTTGAAGCTAGACCACCACGGAAAACCTGGAATCATTGAACGGCCGTCTCGCCCTATTGTGGGACTCCTCGGCAGTGCGCATCCACGACCTCGCCCCCTGCGAAATTCGAACCCACGACCTATCGGTCTCGCGCCTGGTGCTTAACCAACTAGACCTCTGAGCCGGCATCCAATGGTGTTACTGTCTAACTTCAACTAATCCACGAAATTGAGTGACACATCCACCATTGTCTTCAGTCAGTTACTATCTCACAACAGACCTGGTTGAACCCCACTGGTCACTACTTCTCCCTAGAACTCCAGGATATACCTCTTGAAGCCAGTCACTAGTGAGTATATGTTGGTTGATATCAGATGGGTGTTTTGTGGAGATTGTAGTGCTCGCGCGCGAAACCAGTAGGTCCTGGGTTCGAATCTCGCAGGGGGCGAAGTCGTGGATGCGCACTGCCGAGGAGTCCCACAATAGGGCGAGACGGCCGTTCAATGATTCCAGGTTTTCCGTGGTGGTCTAGCTTCAACTGACTCATGATCTGAACCATTGAAAGATACCTGAACACTTTATGTTTTACATGTTTCGTTTATGTTGATCAATGGTTAGGTTTAAATAAATTGATTTGAGTGACACTAAACATTAATTAATCAATAACTTAATGTTTGAATAGGATATACAATAAGAATTACGTAATCAACAAATGCAACTAAGTTACTGAGTAATTCTATAAGTATTTTCTGATTATTTATTTATTTATTAGTTGAAGTTAGACACTAACATTGTTGGATACTGGCCAGCTCACTGGCCTGAAAGTTAAGCCTTCGCGCGCGAGACCGATAGGTCTTGTTTTCGAATCTCCCGAGGCAGGATCGTGAATACGCATTGCTGAGGAGTCCCATAATAGGACGAAACTACCGTCTAGTGCCTCCAGGTTTTCTATGATGGTCTAGCTTCAATTGACTCATGATCTCAACTATTAAAAATTATCTATTTATTTATTCAAGCATATAAACATTGGTACAAGGAGGCACTAAATAATAGATATACACCACATAAATCATTCGATTTGTGTGAACACTGGGGATACTGCCCCGGTGCTCAAACTGAAGCAGGTAATAATAGTATGTTTAATGTATATTACAGTCAGTCAGCCAGCAAAAACGTAGGACTAGGCACATATATGCATCAGTCTAAGTTGCCATACCTCATTAATACAACAAGATGGACACCGGATTCATAAAAGTAGTTAATTCAGTTGTGGTAATATATGAAAGAAAGATTGCAATAAGGATATAGTACAGGAAGAAAGAAATAGTTCGTAGAAAGAAAGAAAGACAGGAAGCCATTTTAATCTCCTAGTTTAAGGGAAGACAGAGAGTGTATACACCGACGCCATTGTGATGAATTCTGAGCCATGTCACCAAGAGTCTCCAACCATTGGTTACGATAGTCACGTGCACCCCAACCAAGTAGTTTGAATCTACCAACATGGCTCAGACTAGAAGTGAGTGAGTTCAAGCACTGATGCCACGTTTTGGTTTGGCCGCACCTAACTTTCTTCCAACCATCTCCAACAACGGTTAGCATTGCATGTCGTGGTAATCGGTGTTCAGGCATACGTGACACGTGACCCTACCATCTCAGTCGATGAAGATTCACAACCTCATCAACTGATTTACCATCATTCCCTAATACCCTGCATCTAACCTCACTATTACTTACCCGGTGATCCTAGCATACGCCAGCAATATTTCTACCAACATGGCTCAGACTAGAAGTGAGTGAGTTCAAGCACTGATGCCACGTTTTGGTTTGGCCGCCCCTAAGTGAATAATGAATTCAATTTCTATGATGTTTCCATTACTTTTTCATTATGAAATAATCTCTAATTATATTGTTTTGTTTTTTAATGTTTTCTTAATAGAGAATATGAATTTTTATCAAAATTAGAAAATGATCTCAATAAAAGTATGAATTCAGGTGAAATTAAATTCTATGTAACATTAAGTGAAATTAGTGAAACTTTTATTGATAATTCAGAGTGTAAAAAATTGAAAAAGAAAATGAGAGAAGAAAAATCTCGTGTATTTGCTACGGAATTCTCATCACAAATTCCTGCTACAACCACATCAACGGTAGATATTGTTTAAGTATTTTAATATATATCTCATTGTGTTTTAATAAACTACCATTATTGTTACTCCATATTGTTATAATTTGTCGTATGAATGCTTATTGTGATTAGATGGTGGTTGGAGGTGGTGCTATTTAGCACTCGTCAGCATGGTGTACCTGTAATCTTGAGGGAACTGGTGCTCCCTGGCGGATTCGATCAATCAATTGTGATTACATCTCAGTCCTACAAGATGTCAGTCGCCGCTCGGATAGCTCAGTGGTAACGTCTCTGACTGTGAAGCTGGGTGACACGAGATCGAATCGGCCAGGGAGCACCAGTTCCCTCAAAATTACAGGTGCACATTGCTGACGACTGTTAAGTAGCACGAAACCCGTGTCCAGGGTTTCCTGTCGAATGCATCCAACCACCATCTAATCTCAATATATAATGCCCGCAGTGTCGAGTCACCTAGACTGGTGACCACATTGCAACATGATCGATAGCATTCGATCTGCACTAATAAAAACTAGACATGCATGACATTGATCGCCACCCAGTGATCAATCGAATGCTTGTTGTCTTGGCTTTTTTAATTCTACATTTTGTATTTGGTCGTCGCTGATTGTTATGTCGGAAACGCTTATCACTTATACTCGGAACGAGAGACCTCTGCAATTCGCACGATGCGAAAGTAAGAACACAAAGTCAGTCAGTCAGTCAGCTACAACGTAGGACCAGGCACATATGTGCATCGGTCCAGGTTGCCATACCGCATCAGCACAACAAGATGAGCACCGGATTCACAGCAGTGGTTAGGTGAAAGGTGGTAATATATAAGAGAAAGATTGCATATAGAGATATAGTACAAGAAGAAAGAATTGGTTGGTAGAAAGAAAGATAGGAAGCGATTTTAATCTCCTAGTTTAAGGGAAGACAGGGAGTGTATACACCGACACCATTATGATCGATTCTGAGCCATGTCACCAAGAGTCTCCAACCATTGGTTACGATAGTCACGCGGACTCCAACCAAGTAGTTTGCATCTACCAACATGGCTCAGACTAGAAGTGAGTGAGTTCAAGCACTGATGCCACGTTTTGGTTTGGCCACCCCTAACTTTCTTCCAATCATTCCCAACAATAGTCAGTATTGCGCGTTGTGGTAATTGGTGTGCTAGCATACGTAACACGTGGCCCAACCATCTCAGTCGATGAAGATTCATAACCTCATCAACTGATTTACCATCATTCCCTAATACCCTGCATCTAACCTCACTATTACTTACCCGGTGATCCCAGAAGACGCCAGCAATATTTCTAAGGCATTTGTGGTCAAATACTAGTAGCTTACGAGTGTCTTCTACTCTTAATGGCCATGTTTCGCTGCCGTAAATTAAAACAGAACGGACTGCCGCGCAGTATACTCGTCCTTTTATTGATAGACGGATATCTCGCCTTCGCCACAGGTGACGTAAGTTAGCAAAAGCCAAACGAGCTTTTCGAATCCGTGCTGAAATTTCGTCAGACACCAACCCATTAGGGTTGATCAGACTTCCAAGATAAGTGAAGCTGTCAACGCGTTCGACTACTTCACTCCCTATCCTTAGTTCAGGTGTTGACGCAGACCAGTCCTGAAGCAACAACTTGCATTCAGAGGGAGAGAAGCGCATTCCAAACATTCTGGCATTGTTGCTTAGTGCTACCAAAAGACTCTGCATTTTATCAGCGTCTTCACCAAACAGGACTATGTCATCTGCGCATTCTAAGTCGATAAGTGGACCTCCTGTAAGGAGATCAATGCCCAAGAATTCAGTCGACGAGAATGTTATTTCCATTAGTAGGTCTATGATGAAGTTAAACAAAAATGGAGAAAGTGGACAGTCTTGTCGGACACCACTTGAGGTTGCAAAAGTAGATGACAGTTCGCCATAAGCTCTGACTCGACTAGTAGTGTTCGAGTAAAGAGCCTTCACAAGGTTTATGTACTTCTGGGGTACGCCTTTTAATGACAGACACTGCCATAGAATCTCGCGGTCTACCGAGTCAAATGCTGCTTTTAAGTCGAGAAAGACCACCATTGCCGGACGCCGATAAGTATGCCTGTGTTCTAGAATCTGACGAATGGTGAATATGTGGTCGATGCAGCCACGACCAGGTCTAAAGCCAGCTTGGTTCTCTCGTGTTTGCAGTTCACGAGTCTTAGTTAGGCGTCTGATAATTATCGAGGCTAGTATTTTAGATATTATATTAGTTAAACGAATCCCTCTGTGGTTGTCACAGGATGATTTTGACCCTTTCTTGTATATTGGGACGATAAGTGATTGTGACCAGTTAGATGGGATAACGTCTAACTCCCAGATCCTAGCTAAAATATTAGTCAACTTAATCGCTAAAATTTGACCACCATCCTTAAAGACCTCTGGAGCCAGTCCATCTGGACCAGCTGCCCTTCTTCGTTTCAGATTAACTATAGCCTTTTGAACTTCAGCAAGATTTGGGGGACCTACTTCAATGTTCCATTCACACTGTCTGGGAATGGAGGGTAGTTGTAGAGTAGCTGAAGGCCAGTTGAACTGTTCTCTGAAATGTTCCGCCCATCGTTCTAAACGTCTGGACTGACAGCAGATGAGGGTGTCGTCTTTTTCCGAAATAGTCTGACTTACACTTGACTTATTAATTCCAGTTTCTTTTATTAGTCTGTAAAGCTGTCTTGTGTTCCCTATAGTCGCCGCCTTTTCCATCTCTTTTGCTTTCATTGCCCACCACTGCTCACGGTCATTTCTTAGACTTTTTCTTAACCTAGATCTGATTTGTTGTCGCTCTTCATCACGTTCGGAACCTGATGGGACGAGTTTGCGAGAATCCATCAGTGTGATAGACTTTGAAGAAATTCACTGGTTTTTTGTAACCCTGTGGTTTAAATCACTGGTATATGTCACTGCTGTTTCTACAGCTGTTTGTATGGCTTTCCAAGCAACAACTGGGTCAACCTCGTCTTCAGAACTACCTAATCGTGACCTCAGTTGTTCCTGGAACCTACTTTTGGTTTCCTCGCTACTCAGTTCGGTTTTAATGGGTCTTTTTACTGTGGCTTTTTTGCGTCCAGTGAGGCGCAAGCAGATGCGTGCCCGTATTAGGGCGTGGTCGGAGTCCAAGTAGGTACTCCAGAATGAGCGACAATCTTGTACCGACCCTCTCCAACGATGACTGATGGCAATATGGTCTATTTGAGTCCATCGTTGGTTTGGTGTAGGTTGTCGCCATGTTAGACGATGTCTATCCTTATGCTTAAAATTTGTGACTTCAAGAAAACAATAAATAAAATGGACGTTGAGATTCAATTCGAAAATCTTTACGCTCAAACGGCAGAACTAGTAGCTTCATCAAAAGATAATGTCGAAAGATTTAAATCAACACTAGTCGACTGTTGTTTTAAATATTTAAATCATAGACACAACACGAAAGGGATTTTGACGAAAAAACATACAGAAGCTTTAAGACAACTTAAAACTAATGACAATTTATTAATCATGAAACCGGACAAAGGACATGGAATAGTACTCATGGACAAAAATGACTACATAAACAAAATGAAAGCCCTTTTAAATGATAAAAGCAAATTTCAGAAACTGGCTGTGAAGAACGACATAGCAGATAAGATTGAAAAGCAATTAACAGATTCACTGAAAGAAATTAAACAACAAGGTTTTATTTCAGAAAAGATGTTCGAAATGTTGAAACCTACAGGAACGATGACACCAAGACTATATGGCCTACCAAAAATACACAAAAGTGGCTTACCCCTTCGACCAGTTTTAGATATGAATAACTCAGCGTATCATACTATAGCAAAATGGTTGGTGCAAATTCTTAAACCATTACACAAAGAAATTGTCAAGCATAGTGTCAAGGATTCCTTTGAATTTGTTGAGAACATAAAAAATCTATCAGTCAAGAATAATTTCATGTTATCACTTGATGTATCATCTTTATTCACTAACATTCCATTACAAGAAACAGTTGATTTTATTTGTAATGAACTAACAGAGAGACGTATAGAAACCCCGATTCCAGCATCCGTGATAAAACAGTTAATTCTCAGATGCACAATGAATGCACAATTCAGATTTGACAACGAATACTATAGACAGCTAGATGGAGTTGCCATGGGATCACCATTGGGCCCTCTACTGGCTGATATTTTCCTTGCAAAACTGGAAAACGGACCACTTAAAAGCATAATTAGCCATTTACCAACTTATTATCGCTATATAGACGACACCTTCATAGTACTAGAAAAAGAGAATGATAAGAACAATTTACTTAATACATTTAATAACGTTCATCCATCAATTAATTTTACATCAGAAGATGAACAGAACGACAGCATATCATTTCTAGATGTCCAGCTAAAAAGAAGAGCAGACGGAACTTTAAAAAGAGGGGTACAAAGAAAATCTTCAACAGGACAATACACTCATTTCTATAGTGCAGTTCCAATCAGATACAAAAGGAACTTGATAAAAATCTTGACACATCGGGCTAGAATGATTTGCTCTGAAGACACCATCGAAGAAGAATTGAATAATATTCGGAACCTACTTAGTATGAATGGGTATCCCATGAAATTCATCGACAAACATATGATGGAGAAGAAAACAAGGACAAAGATACCCACCGTCCATAAGAAGGTACTATTCATAAAACTACAATTCATAAATGACACCATTGAAGAAACCTTGACTCAGAAACTAAGAAGAGCCGTACAAAAAACATTTAATGCTGCCAGATTAAATGCAATCTTCTACAACTATCCTAAGATAAGAACAGCCAACAAAGACAGACTGCCTGAATTCGCCAAATCTATGTGTATCTATCGTTTCAACTGCTCCTGTGGAGCCAGTTATATTGGGCGTACAATTCGGCAAGTCCGTCATCGCATTACTGAACATCATCCGTCGTGGTTAAACAAAGGACAGGTAAAAGTGATTAAAAGTTCTATTCTCTCTCACTTGGTTGACACAGGTCATCAAGTCGAATTGAATAAAGCTTTTAAGGTTATCTACAATGTCCCATCTAATTTGTCACATGGTTTACGAGTGTGCCTCTCGCACATTGCGGAAGCCATCGCAATCCATGTTCACAAACGTGACCTTTGCATTCAAAAGAGATTCGTACAACCACTTTCCCTGCCCTGGCCATCAGTTTAAGATTTCCTTCAAAAGAACTATTTTTCATACTTCTTCCATTTTTTTTTTTAATTTTTTAAAACTTTTGTAATTTTTTGTAATTTTTTAAACTTTTGTAATTTTATTTCTGTTGCTTTTGAACTTAATAACTTCTCAACATTCATCTGTTGATTCTTACGTAACTACCATCCTATTGACCATCCGTTAAAATTCTGTTCCTTCTTTGTTTCTTACATTACGCAACTTAGCAACTTCTTGATCACTTTGAATATTAATAATCCTCTTTCTTCCAATTAATTAATGTTAATTTAAATGTCATTATGTAATTATTACGTAACGTATCCACTCGATGAGTATTATATTATTATTGTAAAACGTATATATATTAGTGTAGAGCCATGATGAAAAACTAATTGAAAAGAAATTTCTTCGCTCAATTCGTTCCTTCCTTAAAATTTGTGTTTGCTAAAAATAAACGATTGTCCGAGCACAGTTGCAGCAGACGGTCACCATTATCTGTTCGCTGTGCCGGAATGCTAAAATATCCACCTAAATGCCTTTCTGTTTGGTTCAAGCTACCTATCTGAGCATTAAAGTCACCCCCTACGAGTACTATGTCTGAGCGTTTAGCTTTCTGAAGAAGTTCAGAAAGCTTTCTGTAAAATTCATCTTTCACATCATCTGAGCTGCAGTCAGTGGGAGCGTAGGCAGAAACGACGAAAAGGCAACGACGTGTATCCCTATCCTTCCGAGTTCTTACGGAGCCGTTTAACCGAACAGCACATAGACGACTGTTGATTGGGATCCACTCTAGCAGTGCTTGTTCCGCCCTCATGCTTAGTGCTATGCCTACACCTGCCAGTCCACGAGAACTGGCCATCGGGTCACCAGATACACGGAGGGTGTATCTCGTTGGCTCTCCGTTTTGCCGAGGTGAGGTCAAGTGAATAACCACACTGGAATCCTGTGTGCGTGTTTCGGAGACACAGCATACATCAATGGAAAGAGACTCTAGGGTTTTAGCCAAGAACACAAAGACTGATATAAGTGATGATTTATTAACCCCCAAAACACTATGACGACGACAACAACCCTAGTAGAAAATACACTTATTTATAAATTGATTGTACACCCGTTTTGATTAATAATTAGGCTGAAATCACATATATGAAACATACTCAGAGTTATAACAAATCACAGACTGAGCATAGTTCATGTCAATCGGATACAAGAATATCGCATATTATACAGAATAAAATGTTATACGAGAAAAGAAAACAAATACTACATTGAGTAATCATTACATTGAATCAAAACGGAAGTAATTTTGAGCAAAACTGATAATGAGTAAATCAATCGAAAATTGACTATTCTTTCCATCATATCAGAAACAAACTCAAATGGATACAAAATCACATTGTTCTACCTAATATAGTTTACATTACCTTTTTAAATTTTCACTTACCACCTCTGTAATATACCCATACCAACTAAATTGTGATTGGCTGGCGAGAAGTTAGTTTTTATTGTCGACCCATTGTCATGTAATCTATCAGTCGACCGGAACATGTTTATAGTATTGTACTTCGATCTTTTTCTTTTACCTTCTTTGCCAGTCGGTCATTGAATCAAGTATATTCTGGATCATTCAATTAGTATACTCTTGCTTATTACTTCACCCGTGTTTTAAATCACTCATCACTTGATAATTCACCTTATTGCTGTTCGTTCACGTTCAGCGACCAATCGTATTTTAACTTCATTGCCACATAACGAAAAGTGCCATCTACATAACTTTCTCGATTACTGGCCGCATTTTCCAGGTTGGTAATGAAGCAATCACTCAAGAGGGAGCATGATGGTGAACCCAATGCATTTCTATCAGTTCGTCTGTAGGAATCATTATTAAATTTGAACTGTACATTGAGTACGTCGTAAAAATAACTCCTTTTGACAAATGTTTTCGTATACAAATATGCAAGTCGACGTTCATTTTGAAAGAAGAATGAAAAACAGTCACCAGTTCAATACAGATACATCTAATAATCTCTGAACACGTCGCTCCAAATGAATCTTTCTTCAAAATAATCTACACAATTGAAGAAACTACATCGAAGGGAGACTGAATCAAAAACTTATGCACTGTTGAGGCATTGGCGATTCACCAATTCAAGCACAAACTCACTGTGCACAAACGACACATCCAACCTATCATTGTTCCTTAGCCCTCACTCCCTTCTCCACTATGTTTTGCTCTTGTTTCCCTTTCTAGCTTACTGTTCTGTAATTCTAAACCATAATCAGTTATTACTATCCTTCAAAAGTCCTTCATGGTTATTATTCACTTATCATTATAACCTTAATACTACTCAGTTTTCTTCATATCTGTTCAGTGGACAATTATCTTTTATAATTCTCAACCGTAAATTATTTTCATCCTCCTACACTACTCTCACATTCTGATTATAACTCAACCTCCTTTGATATTTCGAGTCTCGAATCCCTTTGTCATGCGCTCCTTTCTACTTTTCTATGAGCATATATTTACCAAACAACTACAAATACGAGTGTACAGCTTAAGTAAATGATTTCATTGTAGAGGAAAATTTCTTCAGTGAATTCTAATTATTTTTGTTTGATGACACACTGGGTTTTGTTTTAATTAGTTGAATATATACCTTTAGTTTTGTAAGACAGTAACAGTTATTCAATAAACACTAATTACATTTAGATGTTTCTATCATCAAGAAGGAACTGCAAACTTCTGTGAAAGTCTAAAATCTTCTGATTGATTACTTTGAAAATGTAAAAAATTAGTTTATATCGTTACTAACACGTAGATATTGATATTGAAAACAGCAGGGAAAACAACACTCACTTATCAAATGAAATGAATGAAATGTATTCCCTGTTCTTCTCTTCTATTGTTTTTATTGCATAAATGTTAATGATTTACTTAGGAAAAATACACATGTGTTATATAACGAGAAATAGATTTAATTATTCACGATTCTATACTGATCGCTATATCTAAACATCACAACCGTTGATCATGTGACACAGTCGACTCGGTAATTCGATCAATGTTCAAACACCACGTTAGAACAGAATGAGAATTAATTACTACACAAATACAAAGCAATGAATAATCGAAATCAAAGTGGAATGAATTTATACATGATAAATAGTCTCTTTTGTGTTTGTTGTATTCGAATGAGTTTATGTTCCGTCGTTGACCCGTCACTGTCTACTTTCCTCGGACTCATCAATTCCAAACACTTAGTTTTGTTACCACTATGAAACGATGTTAAATAAAGTATTTTCTCTTTGATTATATTATATATAATGTTGCATCAGATATGATATATTCGTACCAATCATTTGGTTACTGGATAGTAATAAATGTTATGCCATATATATCTTACTGGTGTTTATCGAAATAAATCGATTATGTTGTAATATGACAATGAAACTATTACAAGTCATTAGGCTTAGTTATAACGTCTATAACCAACTCAATGGATGATATGACTTTGAATATTTGATAAAACAATTCTTTCAAGATTAAAAAAATACTCCTTTCTTGAAGAATATTGATCATCATTAAAAGAAAAACGATCTAAACTCTGAACTCGTAATAATCTTTTCAAAAGTACAGTTGATATGATGGGAAGATTTTTGTACAACATTAATTCCGTTTTAATTCAATGTGATGTATGATTCGGTTTTGTTTTCCTTTATGGTATTCTGCATATTGTGTATAACATACGATATTCTTGTATTAAGTTAACATAAACTAAACTCAGCATAGGATTTGTTATATCTGTGATTTCATCCTAATTATTAATCAAAAATGGGTGTATATATCAATATATAAATGATTGTATTCTCGACTAGAATCATCGTGTTTTTGGAGTTAAAAAACCATCACTTATACCAGTTTTTATGTTCATACTTTTGAGTTGTGGGAATTGTCGAGGTCCTTCGTTTCACTTACAAATGATATAATATCCACAAAACCCATCTGATATGCTCACAAGTTAGTGGCTTCAAGAGGTATATCCTGGAGTTCTAGGGAGAAGTAGTGACCAGTGGGGTTCAACCAGGTCTGTTGTGAGACAATAACTGACTGAAGACAATGGTGGATGTGTCACTCGATTTCGTGGATTAGTTGAAGTTAGAGATTAATACCGTTGGATACCAGTAGGCCCTGGATTCGAATCTCGCAGGGGGCGAGGTCGTGGATGCGCATTGCTTAGGAGTTACCGACAATAACAATCAGCGACGACCAAACATAACAAGTAGCGTTCAGTCGGCAAAGCATATCAATATTATATATGAATTCATCCATATTTTACTAGATTCCAATATCCGAATTGTTTTATTATGGAATATCTGTTTGTTTGATTCTTATAGCTCACTCAATCTGATAATTATTCTGTAGCAGAAAATATCGATGTACCAACTTTACGTTCAGGAATTATTAATAATTCAGTTGTAAGTTTAATATCATTACGAATATTTTCGAATAATTTTTCTGTTTAGCGTTTTTTTAGCGAGTTAGTTTTCTACGGAATGGGGTCGCTAATCCCATGCTTAACCCTCCTCCTTTATGCGGGCTTGGGACCGGCAGTATCCCCCGGAGGGACTGCAGGTGGAGTTACGAATATTTTAGATAAATCCAAAATGTATTACTAATGATCAGGATATTGGGGTTGGTGTCGTTGTTTTTGTTTTTCGAGAAAGTTTTGAATTTTATCACTAATATGATTTTATAATGAAATGATGACAAGTAATGACTGTTACCCTCTCCTGGGTACAATATTTCACTGAACCAAAGAATATTAGAATATAAAGTCCAGTCTATTATTTCGATAAACATGTAGGAAAAAGCTTGTTATTTTTATCACAAACTAGTATAAATCAGTATCTTAATTACTTACTTACGCCTGTTACTCCCAATGGAGCATAGGTTGACGACCAGAATTCTCCAACACACTCTGTCCTAGCCCTTCATTTCTAGTTCTATACAATTATTGATCATTTTTCTCATGTCTATCTCCATTTCTCAGAGTAATGTGTTATTTGGTCTTACTCTTTCCATTTGACCTTGAGTATTCCAAGTGAGGGGTTGTGTTGTGACTCAGTTTGGTGCTTTCCTTAATTTGTGTGCTATCCACATCCATTGCTTCTTCTTGATTTCTTCCTCTGCTGGAATCTGGTTTGTTCTCTCCCACAGTAGGTTGTTGTTGATAGTGTCTGGCTAACAGATGTGAAGTATTTTGCGTAGACAACTGATAATGAACACTTGTAGCTGAATGAATCAATATCTACAGTGAAAAAAATTTTCCTACTTAGTTGAACAATTGACCTAAAAGGTTGATTTAAACTGTACCCGTTTTTGTCAATTAAATTATCTGTAATAACAGCATTTGTTACCACCTCTTGAAACGGATTCAACATTTACACACTTTTTTATCTTAATATCAACAAAATATTGAAAACACTTATGGTTAATTTACCTTAGACGAATATTTACACTAGATTCCCTCCCACTGTCTATTCTACAGGACGTCAACACAACTCAGACCAAGAACACATGATTAGCATGCCCACAACGTAAATATATTTCCACATCGAAAAGCTGACAACAATCCGACACAATCCAACAGCAATCGATAATCAGTCAATAATAATAAGGACAGGACTATATATAACTCCTCTAACGTCTGTCAGATTATCTACAAGTCTGACTAAACAAACCAACCAATCATTATCATTCTCTATTGAGATCATGAACCGATTGATGTTAGACCACCATTGAAAACCTGGAAGCACTGGACGGCCGTTTTGTCCTATTGTGGGACTCCTCAGCAGTGGTCTAACACCAATCGGTTCATGATCTTAACCAAAAACTTAACAATCTGCACAACCCCTAAACTGATCCTTATCATTCTCGCCCACACGTCACATTTCAAATTAAAAAGATGTGGAAAACTTAAGTACATTAACACCGTTGGATGCCGGCCAGCTTACTGGTCTAGAGGTTAGGCGCTCATGCAAGACCAACAAGTTCTGGGTTCGAGTCTCGCTAGGCGGGATCGTGAATGAGCACTGCTGAAGAGTCCCACAATTAGACGGAACAGCCGTCAGTGCTCCCGGATTTTCCATAGTGACCTAGCTTCAATGAACTCATAATCTTAACTACTAAAAATTAATATGATATCCATAAAACCCCTTCTGAAATTTATCTTTACTTTAAGATATACAAAAATTATCGAATAGAAATTATAAAAAGAATAGGGGAATTTCAAAATTATTCACTCTTCAAGTACTTTTTACACAAAATAGAAAAATTAATTTTAAAAACAAAAATATCAATTTACAGTCTAAGATAAACCAATGGGGTTGGAAAATAGAAGAACAATTACGTCAAGTGCTTTCCGTAAGTGATAATACTTTTATAAATTATTATCTTTTTTGATTGAGATCATGAACTGATTGATTTTGGACCATCATTGAAAACCTGGAAGCACTGAACGGCTGTTTCGTCCTATTGTGGGACTCCTCAGCAGTGCGCATCCATGATATTATCCTTTTTTTTCGATTCATTTCCATTAAGCCTCGAGAAAAAAAATTAAACTTAATAGTAATCAATTTATACGCGACTATATTTAAGTTTTACTACAATTCTATGATCTCTAGTATTCATATTCAGTATTTACCCATATTTTGAATATACAATGTACTAGTTGGTATTTTGAGTTGTTTGTTTTTCTATAATGTTGTTACTGTATTGATGTTACACTGGATTAGATCAGATTTTACTCATTTAGACTATTGGTCATACTTCTTACTCTCATATTGATTGTAGTTTTGGCTATATGTAGACCATGTTTATCCATAATGTTCAACAAAGTAAACACACATAAGTGAAACCTAGATAAATGTAGACTGTTAATAGATCTCCTCTAATCACTAAACAACAAAATAATCAATAATTATAAATTTCAGTTAATCATATATCTCAGTGTTTTGTCAATCGGCTTCAAACCACTTGGTTACTAGTAAGTAGTTCAAACAAAATAAAATTATGATGACAAGTTTTGTAGAGAAATGATCATGATTAGTACTCATTTCATCCTTCAACTAATTAAAGGTTGTCAACTACAAAGTATGCCAAAAAAACCGATACTGCTATTCTGATTTATTATGGTTAGTTTCATGATTTTTATTACCACTTCCAAAGAGCTTTGTACATATATTTGGTTCCGATTTACACTTACAGACACGTTCTCAGCAATATAATCCACAATCTAATCAATCAAACCATGATTCAACAGAAATCGTGGATTTCATAGAAGACTTACAAAACGATGATGGGCAACCAAATTTTTCAAAACAAGGAGACAAATCTTTACAAAATCGTGTTGAAGACAACTGGACGGAACGAAATCAATCTCTACTACCTCAACCTAAATGGCCGTATAATTTTTATGAAGGTACTAGCCTAGAGTTGTACACTAGCAAATGTCAAGGTGATACGAATGAAAGTATTGATAAACTATATACATTGAATAATGAAATACAAATGGAGAGTTTGTTTCAACAATCCCGTTTAATAGTTACGTTGGTCGGTGCAAAAAATTTAAAAGTTCGAACTAAACTAAAGAATGTTGTTGCTGTCAGTGAGGCCGATAGTTGTAAAGCACCACGTGGTCGATCAACAAGAAGCCATCCAGATCATACACTAAATGGTTTGGATGAAGAAAAAAACAATTTACCTTGTCCAACAGTGTTTTTAACTGTTGGAACCAAAACACATCAAAGTAAAGTAGGTTGAATAAATCATACATTAGCGATTTAAATATTCTTAGAACTGATTATCATCAATAAAATATAACATTTAACCGAATCATTTCTCAAAACAGTATGTTGGACTGTATCAATATATCTTGTCTTAGTAATATAAAGGAAAATAGTTTTTATCATATGTTTGATTACGTAACAGATAAATTGATATCAGAAGGGGTTTTTGTGGATATTACAGTAACGTCATTAGTTGAGCTCATCAATCAATTGAAGCTAGACTACCATGGAAAACCTGGAAGCACTGGACGACCATTTCGTCCTCTTGTTGGAATCCCTATTAGTTTTAGGGAAGGAATGTTGTTACTTGTGCAATACCATTTTAAATGTGGTGAAAAACGGTAATATGAGCTATTTTGAGAAAAGATACATACTTCTCAAGCAAAGATGGATAGTAGCTAGCAGTAGAATTCGGGATGCGCACTTCATCCTATTTGGGACTTGTCAACTGGATGTACCTGCATCTCGGACTTGTTGATGTTTACCCCGGGACTCGAACCCAGTACCATTTGCTTCAAACACCATCACGTTACTCACTTAGCTACTGAGTCCTGGTAGGCACGTGTTTTTGCAATGGGGTGAAGTTTAAATTTACAAGCTTTTTAAGCAAAGTTGCATAGTGGCTAGCAGTGGAATCCAGGATGCGGGTTTCGTCCTGTTTGGGACTCGTCAGCTGGATGTACCTGCTTGTGAATTAAGACTATATCGAGACAATCCGCACAGGATGCACATATCCTAACAAGAGACTGATCGATTACAGTCTTAAATAACAATCGGAAGATACAAGTAAAACAGTACCAAGTGAATTTAGAGATACATACTGGTCATACTTCTGAATACTTTGAAGGAAGTTACAGTCAGAAAAAGGATTGATATCATTTAAAATGGTGAATTAAACCAATCAAAGCACCTCAAAAATATACTGTTTCTTTGTTGTTTACAGCTAATGAATATTCTATATTCTCATTAGGCTTCCATAATGAGTGAATTTAAGTCATTTCTATCAAATAATGAAAATACATTTTACAAGATAAGAAATGTTTAGGTTTCAAGGAGGAGATGTAGAAATGTTTCATGTTATTATCAACTACCGATTTGAACTATTTTAAACGATAGTAAACATATGAACATTAACATTAATTATTCTAATGGTTTGTAGGTGTCATTACCAAGGTTTGATTTGATAATTTCGAATAAATTGAGCATTGAGTTGATTGTTATAAATAAAAATAATATAGTTGTAATATCCCAATGAATAGAAAATTGGATTTTTCTGACGTTTCGTGGCTTAGTGTAAGTCACTTCTTCAGAGAATAAATAACCAAATTAAAATTAATCCAAGTTTAAATAGTATAACGGAACAATGCAAGAATAATATTGGATCAATCAAAAACAGGTCTGAACAAGTTGATGTATGTCATTTCTGTCCAGGTGATTCATAAGTGATAAGTATGTAAATTTGTGTATGTATGTGTGTGTGCATTGTTTAAGAATGAAAACTGTGTACCTATATGGTAAGAAAGGATTATTAGAAGCATATTAAAACAACACAGTTTATTACATTATAATAAGGATTCGAATGAAATGCCCTGGATTGGCACTGTAGTCCTACCATACCGTCATGGCACAACAGAAGAAATTCAAAGAATCTTAAAGCATCACAGAATTAAAGTGTATTACAAAACAACGAACACACTACGTAATACTTTAGTTCGCCTGAAAGAAAAAATCTCTTTCATGTCAACACAGAACTACGTCTACAAATTAGGTTGTATCGATTGTGATGCCTATTATATTGGAGAGTCATCCCGCGAAATCATGACTAGAGCCAAAGAACATATTAGGTACACAAAGAAACCTCCTAACAATCCTGTAGAATTGAACCAACTTCAAATTAAATCGGCAATAGCAGTTCATGCCATTTTCAACAACCACCAAATCGATTTTAAAAATATCAAAATATTGCAAAAAGGCTTTTCCAACTACAAAGAAAGGAGGGTAGCTGAGGCGTTCCATATAATGCTTAATCCTACTTCTCTCAATAGAAAAGAAGGCCTTACCATACATCCTACTTGGACCATCTATCCTAACCATTCCGTCTGATCGTATTTACAATTTCACACTATCATATTACAAATTTAAACTCTATCCTTTCTTACCATATAGGTCACACAGTTTTCATTCTTAAACAATGCACACACACATACATACACAAATTTACATACTTATCACTTATGAATCACCTGGACAGAAATGACATACATCAACTTGTTCAGACCTGTTTTTGATTGATCCAATATTATTCTTACATTGTTCCGTTGTACTATTTAAACTTGGATTAATTTAATTTGGTTATTTATTCTCTGAAGAAGTGACTTACACTAAGCCACGAAACGTCAGAAAAATCCAATTTTCTACTCATTGGGATATTATAAATATATTATTTTTATTTATATTCTAATGGTTCTTCGTTGTCTTTATACATCGTGATAAGTAATATGTAAACAAGTTGATGCTATATGTTTTTTAGTCTTGAGCATTTAATTAGTATACAGTTATTCATTCTCAGCCTCAGTTTCCACTCCATATTTTTATTAATATTTTAGATAACATTATTTAATAGTTCAGATGTATTAAGTGATTCACTTACTTACTTCATTACGGCTGTTACCCCTCGTGAAGGAGCAAAGGCCGCCCACCAGCACTCTTCAGAATATTTCTTTAATTGTTTTATTACATTAGTCATTTTTTTTGTTTTTTTAAGTGTTTGCTGGTTTAAGGACATATTAAGGACTTGTGATTTATTGTTGTTACTACCGATAAACCTGATGTTTCTGATATTTTAAATGGTGTTGGATTTGAATCCATAACAATGAATGTTACGTTCAGAAATGTGATCACTCACTTGTTAGGATTATTAATGACCTCCAGTATATGTGATATATTTGCACTCATTGATCACATACTAGTAGTAATTAATTTCGTATTAACCAGATCTTAATGCTAATCAAATACTACTGATAAAGTTGTGGAATAACCACCAGTCGATGTAACCAAAAGTCACAATATGTCCATAATACTTGAACTGTTGCATTTTTTTTAATGGTCTCTAACTTTTTAACACAAAAATGTACCGAATTGTATATCTGTATCAGTTGTATACTTTGCATGCGTCTTATTTATACCGGCAAGGTTGTAATGCATACAAAAAATCCATTATGGAATGAACGATTTGAATTTCGTGTTCGTCCTGGAATGAGAACAGTACTTCAGTGTGAAGTATTTGATGACTCACATCAAAATACCAATCTGCTCGGTCGGTAAGTTATACTAAAAAGCTTTGACTGAAGTTATTTACCTTGCTTAATTAGATAAATACATACAATGTTTAGTGTGGCTACATCTATCAATATTCATATACTTTAGAAAACTTTTATGGTTCAGTATGATGCTCAGATGATGACGATCGTGGATCACACAAATGATTTGTATTACTGTTATATTTTCTGAAATAAGTGATTCATTATTACGAAATGAAATATTACACTAGACATCATAAACAGCGTCAGCTTTTTGTCAAAAAGCCCAGTCACTAGATAAGATATGCACAGTAAGACTAACAATCTGTTCAAATGATCTGATATGGTAGTTAGGACGATTACGAGGATCAATCATGGAAGCTAGAGAAAAGCTTTATAAATCCACCACTGGAACACAATGTTTGTTGAACTGAAATCTAATTATGAAGTTACTTTTCATCACTAGAGATCTGTTAAAAGATTAAGAACAGCTCATGTCAATCCATGATGAAAGATGTTTTTCAATTAGACAAATTTGTATCAGAAGGGGTTTTGTGGATATTATATTAATTTCAGTAGTTGAGATCATGAATCAATTTTAGCTAGATCACCATGGATAGTGGCTAGCAGTAGAATTCAGGATGCGCGTTTCGTCCTATTTGGGACTCGTCAGGTGGATGTACCTGCATCTCGGACTTGTTGATGTTTACTCTGAGACTCGAACCCACTACTCTTCGCTTCAAACGCCATCGCGTTATCCTCTTCATTTCGTACTTTAAATTAATCGAGTTGATCTATTTAACTACGTCGAACATTTTATTTTTCTTCAACTAATGTCATCCCACTTTTTATTAATGTGAATCCAGATTTTATTTAGATTTTTCGAAAATTGTCCTTGACTGGACAACATGTTTCACACTGAATAATCAAGATGGTCGAGGTCATGGTGAATTACATATTTTAGCTACAATGACCGGATTATTTCCAATTTCCAATGCCACTATTCCTAGAACATTTTCATCAGATCAGTTAAAATTAGAAACTGATTCAATTTATGGTGATTTGTCTAAAGAATCTATTTCGAAAAGCACATTAGATCAAATAGCTGAATATTATGCAAGTTACTCGTATACAACAGTTTAAATAATGTGAATATAATGTTAATTATTGCCTGTTTATGTTGTGATTTGGAGCCCATTTCAGTTACCGTAAGCACTCCTAACTATTGACCAATTGAAGCAGACCAAAATGAGGGAATATAATGGTAACATAAGAAATCGTATTAGCAAAATCTAGATCAAAGTACTTATATGTATATAACAGATCTACAAATAACTTAGACAGAGATATATGAGGATTGGCTTTGAGTAGGTCAACAAGTCACGTACTCGCCTAAGCTCGATTACACATATATTTGGATAACCTAGAGGCTTCAAGACACTACTTAGCTATCTTAAATAGTTGAGATCTTGGAATTACATATTATTTACCGGATAATATATCTTGTAGTTTCTATCATGAACTTAATCGGGCTAAACAACTGTTGGAAATCAGAGAGCACTAGACAGTTATTTTGTCTTAGGATGGTTTACATCAGGAGTCCCAATACGTGCCCCAGCAATAATTGAACTTAGGACATTCGTGTTTTGTGACAAACGTATCATTTATGGACATCTGACATGACATGCGCTTTTTCAAGTTTCCAACTTTAGTGAATACGAGAAAAATGCACAAACACCATCGATTGCCATTTATGATAACTGTATAACGTTTATAATAGTTGGACTCCTCTAGTTATTATTTTTCACAAGAACATTAGGAATTTTTTAGAAAGTTAGTCAGCTATGAGCACATGATTGATGTCAGTATAGACTGCTCGTGGATTATACTGTTAATTGGCTCATGATCATTTGATTGACATTAACTTGATATTTAGTCATGCAACCCATAAATTATTCACCGACATTCTATTTCTCAGCACGGATTCGAAAAGATCGTTTGGCTTTTGTCAACTTACGTCACCTATGACGAAGGCGAGATATCCGTCTATCAATAAAAGGACGAGTGTACTGCGCGGCAGTCCGTTTTGTTTTAATTTACGGCAGCAAAACATGGCCATTAAGAGTAGAAGACACTCGTAAGCTACTAGTATTTAACCACAGATGCCTTAGAAATATTGCTGGCGTATGCTAGGATCACCGGGTAAGTAATAGTGAGGTTAGATGCAGGGTATTAGGGAATGATGGTAAATCAGTTGATGAGGTTGTGAATCTTCATCGACTGAGATGGTAGGGTCACGTGTTACGTATGCCTGAACACCGATTACCACGACGTGCAATCCTATCCGGTATTGGAAATGGTTGGAAGAAAGTTAGGGGCGGCCAAACCAAAACGTGGCATCAGTGCTTGAACTCACTCACTTCTAGTCTGAGCCATGTTGGTAGATTCAAACTACTTGGTTGGAGTCCGCGTGACTATCGTAACCAATGGTTGGAGACTCTGGGTGACATGCCTCAGAATCGATCATAATGGCGTCGGTGTATACACTCTCTGTCTTCCCTTAAACTAAGAGATTAAAATCGCTTCCTATCTTTCTTTCTACGAACTATTTCTTTCTTCCTGTACTATATCCTTATTGCAATCTTTCTTTCATATATTACCACCTCTGAATTCACTACTTTTATGAATCCGGTGTCCATCTTGTTGTGTTAATGAGTTATGGCAACTTGGACCGATACATATATGTGCCTAGTCCTACGTTTGTAGCTGACTGACTAACATTCTGTTTAACTATATTATACTAATGTCATTGTTATATCTTACTTTACAACCAAATCATTTAAACCATAAATAGTTTTACAATTGTACGAAACAGATATCGATAACTAATAGTATATTAATAAAAATATGTAATTGAATAGTCTTGAACAGAATGAATTAAGTTAATTATATGTATGACACATATGGGGTATGTCTATAATCTCTTTCTACCCGGTTACATTTTAACTTTAATAAGAAGTCAGCTATAAGTAACATCAAATATGATGAATTATTATTATTATTATGCTGTTTGCTTGTTAACAAAGTTATATATCTAGTCATATATATTTCATAACTTATAACCATTATTCTTATTCTTCAAATTATATCATAATGATCATTATAGAAAATTAGAAATACACTTCGAAAATGGTCAGATGTCGGTTGGTTACATATTGTTGGTAAGTGGTCATTCGAATTTCTTAAAAGTTAACATACATAAAAGTACAAATGGTACTCATGGTAACATTTTCAATAATGTAATTTAATTTTCTAAATTTTATCAATGTTATCAAATAGTGGTATTGAGATAAGGTTGTAAGATGTTAAGTTCAATGTAATTGACAGGTATCCTATCATCATTGAATGAAGTACATGATGATCTTTTAGTAAAAGATGAATCTAGAAGAAAGAAAAAAGAATGAAACCTCTATGAGCCAAACATCAGTAAAGTTATTTACAGTTTATTACATTCTAAACTTAAATTGACGTTTAACCGAGTTTAAACAAGTCCTATCATACAGATATTTGGACAATAAGTAAATACTTGTTATAACGGTTATTCAGGATGTAAAAACCTTTACATATTTGGGCAGCATCATTGATGAACAGGGTGGATCTGATGCAGATGTGAGAGCGCGGATCGGTAAAGCAAGAGCAAAATATTTACAACTGAAGAACATCTGGAACTCAAAGCAACTGTCAACCAACACCAAGGTCAAGATTTTCAATACAAATGTCAAGACAGTTCTACTGTATGGGGCAGAAACCTGGAGAACTACGAAAGTCATCATCCAGAAGATACAGGTGTTTATTAACAGTTGTCTACACAAAATACTTCGGATCCCTTTGCTGGACACTACTAGCAACAACCAACTGTGGGAAAGAACAAACCAGATCCCAGTGGAGGAAGAAATCAGGAAGAAGCACTGGGACTGGGTAGGACACATATTGAGGAAAGCACCCAACTGCGTCACACGACAAGCCCTCACATGGAATTCTCAAGGCCAAAGTTGGAGGAGGAGAGAAAGACCAAAGAATACATGACGCCGGGAAATGGAGATAGACATGAGAAAAATGAACAAGAATTGGATGGGATTAGAAAAGAAGGCCCAGGACAGAGTGGGTTTGAGAATGTTGGTCGGCGGCCTATATGTCCTGATATGTCCTAGGTTGGAATCTCGTGAGACGAGATCGTGAATGCGCACTGCCTAGGAGTCCCACAATAAGATGAAACGACCGTCCAGTGATTCCAGGTTTTCCATGGTGATCCAGCTTAAATGGACTCATAAATTCAACTATTAATTATTATTACTAGTTGATTATTGAATCATCATTTTATCTGTTCGAGGTTCAAGGTGAATCAACCTGCAAGAGTTTGGAAGTAGGCTATAAAATCAATCTCATAAAGTTTAAATGCTCACTTCTAGTGATTCAATGTACAATAAAGAATGTGTTGACTTTAAGTTACAATTATTAGGTTGATTAGTTCTTTTGTTAGAACAGAATGAATCAGATACTTTTAAAAAAATGATATTATAATAATAATTGTAACCATGATACAGTAACATAATTGTCTACAATACTTTTTGTTATAATATAACAGCCGTAATAGTACAACAGGATTGAATTTTCAGTATCAAGACTTTGAGTCACTATAACTGTGTTGACGTTATACTTATTAAAGATTGACATTTTGAACAAACAATTATACAATGATTTAGATTGCTTGTTACAAAGTTAAAAGTGAAATCATGTGAACAGAATACATGAGTACAGAAAACCCTTTAAAAACAATAATACTTTTATAGTTTACATCACAGGCTGATATTAATTGAGAAAAAAACCCACTGAAAACCAGAAATCACTGGACGACTGTTTATACTTTGTATTGGACTCCTCGGTAGTGATCATCTATGATCCTACTGGGGTTCGAATCCATGACATCCAAATTCAATGATGTCCATACTAATAATAGTATTCCCGTGAATTTACGTTGTTAGATACTGATAAAAGTACTAAACATCTAATTAGTTTAGTTTGAAACCCATTTATTAAGGCTGAACTTAAAGCCTTCAATTATTTTAGCAATGTAATTTTAATATGAAAGGATGTTTACAATATATAATTAGTTAGATCAAGTCATTAAACATAGTTCTGATAATCTTCGTCTTCTTATTACATTATCGAAACTAGGTGTTTTACTCTCACTGCCCAACTCACGTATAGCACATTCATTGGAAAAGAGAGAAAATTCACAGATTTAATTCCATTGGAGACTATGGCTTTGAAGAACTTAGAAAAAACAGCTGTCCAATTCTTTTCATCTCTTAATGTTGATTCAAATGTTTTAAGAAAAGATAGATCATGGCTAAAAGTGGAAATGAATATTAATTTTAATATATTGTGAATTATGCAATAATTGTTTAAGATATAACTACGTTTCTCAAAGACAAACGATTTCAATCGACTCTGCTGAAATAGTAATAGTAGTTCAATTAAAGAGAAAAACTTATTATCTTTATCATTTATTGTTTATTTATTTCAACACATAAATATTGGTACAAGAGGGCACCAAATACATATGCGCCACACAAATCTCATTCGATATGTGTGGGGGCTATGATAGTAACCTGGTGCCCAAACCGAACCAGGTGGTTTTCTTAAGGAACCACACCCGGAGCCTTCGACCTGAAGGTCTGATCCACAAGGCAGTGGAGCAACGTTAGGAGATGCAGTTCCATGGAGGCCGGTGACCAACGATTGGTTCATACACCATTTGTTCCCTCAGGATACTGGAGCCCATGTGCACCATTGGTTTGGGATCCGGTTAAATCGCCGGACATTCGCTTTCCGTCCTCTCATTTTCGTAATCAACACCCACACCACGAGAAGACAGTGAGTAGGACTTCTTTGTCAGAGGCTGTATACGCGTGGCCGTGTGAGAGCATTTCGAGAGGGAGGGCGAACCCATCCCACTCCCGGCCATACCAGGGCATTTGCGGGCTATTATCTTTATGATAGTGGAATATTTAAATAGACTATTAAATTATGCATATCTAAATAACAATTATAGTTACATATTCAATCACATTACCAGTTAGACAATCAGTTACGTAAAACCTAGCACATATGTGCATTGGTCCAAGTTGCCATACTACATTGACATAGCGAGATCAAATTGTCAAGACAAGTCCCAGTAATAATAATAATAATAATAATAATAATAATAATAATAATAATAATAATAATAATAGTAAAGATTTGACATAGAATGCATGTTTTTTTAAGTAAATATAGATTCCTGGAATCAGAACATTATAATATAATATAAATTTCAAACCCTGAGGGATTATAAAACGTGAAAACACCCACGTCAATGAGAATAATTCTGAGCCATACTGCTCACAGTATTTAAACATTGGTTACTAATAATATCGTGCAGACCCTAACTAGGGAGCTTGCACCTACCTATATGGCCCAGCCAAATTATCAATGACTTTGTGGACCAATGCCACGTTCTTGTCTTATGCATTCTAAGGCGTTAATCCAAGTATTTACGATTAAATAATTTAAAATTTATTTTTTGTTTCTTGTGTACAGTAAATCGAGCGTCTAATTTGCCAGCAAAAGATCGAAGTGGAAAATCTAATGTTTTCTGTGAAATAAGACTTGTTAATCGAGTTGTACGAACATTCACAGCACAAAAGAATGCTAATCCTGCATGGAATCAAGCATTTGTATTGTAAGCTTACTTCAGTTGCTTTGCATTTACATCTTTCTACCTGTTCACATTATACTATTCATATTAATTCTTACAATTATTATTATTATTATTATTATTATTATTATTACTATTATTATTGTCATAAATTAAAATAAAATTCCATACATTTTTTATTAATAAGAAGAAGAGTAAATATTCTTTCTAATGCTCACTGTTCAATCATTAGTAGATTGAAAAACCCAAAAATAGAAGATTGAAACTATATTGTTTAAGTCACAATTGATTGATCACTAGGTGGTGATCAATGTCATGCTTGTCTAGTCCTTATTAGTGTAGGTCGAATGCTATCGATCATGTTGTAATGTGGCCACCAGTCTATGTGACTCGACACTGCGGGCACTATATATTGACATTAGAAGGTGGTTGGAGGTGGCCACATTGCAACGTGATCGATAGCATCCGATCTACACTAATAAGGACTAGACACGCATGACAGTGATCGCCACCCAGTGATCAATCAATTGTGATTAAATCTCAGTCCTACAGGGGGTCGGTCGAGGCTCGGATAGCTCAGTGGTAACGTCTCTGACTGTGAAGCTGGGTGACACGAGATAGAATCCGCCAGGGAGCACCAGTTCCCTCAAGATTACAGGTGCGCCTTGCTAGCGAGTGGCAAGCAGCATGAAACCTGGGTCCAGGGTTTCCCGTTGACTACCTCCAACCACCAACTGATATTATTTAAGTCTTTAGACGTGCAAAAATAGGTCTGAGATACTAGATTGGTTTGAAGTGTAAATTCCAAACTGTTAAACAAATCAAATTGTGAGTTGAACTATAATTTATCATACCAACTGACCGGAATTCAAAATATAAACCTTTGGATTACAACTCAGTGTTTTAATGACACTATGTGAATCGACAGACTTGATTATTCTAGATTCTATAACAAGTTTATTTGCACGTAGACAATGCTTTGAATGGCCGGTCGGGTAGCCAGTCCATTTCAGGCCATCAAAATGACGTTATAGTATAAGCTAGAAGTGAATCGAATACACTGCAATAAGTAGATATTGGAAAATTAAAGGTTTTGATCGGTTTTGAAAGTTTTACAGTGATACAAACCTTCACATACACAAATTATTTTGGTCCTGGGTTCGTTCCTGTGTGATGAAGTCCTGCATATCTACTGCCAGGAAGACAAAATAGCTGTTTGATGTTTCTTGCTTTTCAATGGTTATCTGATTAAGAAGTAACAACATAGAAGACTGATGAAAACGATGATTTATTGACCCTTCTAAAACACCTCGTCTTCAATCAGAAATACATTCAGTTATACATTGACTTGTACACATATTTGGTAATTATTCAACAGGTATCAGATGTATGAAAAATGCACAGAAATATTGTAAGAATAAATGCTACATTTTATGTTAGAAAGAGTTCATATTACTTTAATGCAAAAAATACACTGAATAAGTATCAGACTGAAAATAAATTACTAACATGCCGTATTTTATTATTATTGTTACTACTTAAACGCATAAACATAAGTACAAGAAGGCACCAAATAGATATGTGCCACATAAATTTTTCGATTTGTGTGAGGGCTTGGATACTGCTCGGGTGCTCAAACCGAGGCAGGTGGTTTTCATAGAGGGTCACACCTGAAGCCTTCGACCTAATGGTCGATGCAACATGAGGAGATGCAGCCCCACGGTAGTCGGTGATCAGTAATTGGTTCATACGCCATTTTTCCTTCGGGATACTGGAAACCTCGTGCACCATTGGTTTAGAATTGTGGTTTTCCAACTCCTCTAGGTGAAACCACCAACGCGGTTGAAGCGACGAACATTCTCTTTCCGTTCTTTTAATTTCGTAGACAACACCCCCTCCGCGAGAAGGCAGTGAGTAGGACTCCCCTAGTAGTGGTTGTATGCACGTGGCCATGTAAGAGCATTTCGAGAAGGAGAGCAGATTCTCCACACTCTCAGCCGTACCAGGGCATTTGAAAGGCTGACAAAATTGTTGCATTAAAATAAAATAAGCATTTATCATATTGAAATAAAACTGGAAGTAATATTGAGAAACAGAATTACAGAATTCCTCGTTCGCTAAATCAGTTTAAAATCTCTATCTAATTTTATGATTAAAATGAAATGGATACAAAATAAACTATTCTTAACTTCATAAGCGAAAATGGATTAAGGCAATGAATTGAGGCAATATCGAGGCAATACGCATAGTATGCAAGTATGCCAATAAGAGACTGATCAATTGTAGTCCTAAACATCAATTGGAAGATTAAAATAAACAATACCAAATGAATTTATTCTTAACTTCAGTTGCATGTCTTTACTGTTTATTTATTTATTCAAGTCCAATTGAAGATATGTATTCTGTTTTGGAAGTACATGTCTATGAAGAAGGCAAAGAGTCATCTGAATTAACAGGATGTATTTCATTTCCGCTCATACAAGTAAGTTAAATGAGCTTTCCATAGCATATTCTATTGTTGTTGTTGTTTTCACTTCTTCATCGTTTACATGATATATTCATTAAAAATGTTCAATTACATTAGAAAGTAGTTTCAGTAGTTGAGATCATGAGTCAATTGAAGCTGGACCACCATGGGAAACCTGGAAGCATTGGACGGCCGTTTTCTCCTATTTTGGGGCTCTTCAGCAGTGCGCATTCACGATCCCGTCTCGCAAGACTCAAACCCAGGACATATCAGTCCCGCGCACGAACGCCTAACCTCTAACATCTACAAAAAAGCCCCTTATTAGAAGTAGTATCGTCGTTTGTATTTGTTCAAAGAGTGATTCATTTGTGTACATAATTTGTTAATTTTAAAAAGAATTTAATTTAGTTAGCCTACAAATTGGATATAAAACTAACTAGATGTTTTTTGGCATATACATACAAGTGAGTCGGAATTTATTGCTGCACAGTCCAAACATTAGTCGATTCGAAGTGTTAAACAATAATGGATATCAGTATGGGGGGTTGTGGAGATTGTTAAGTTTTTGGTTGAGATCATGAATTAATTGATGTTAGACCACCGTTGGAAACCTGGATGATAATATTAATTAGTCTTTAGTTGTTTATATATTCTCAGTCAAACTGTATCTAAAAACAAAATAATAATCCTGAAAATAACATCAATATGAATGACGTTAGATTGCATAACGGCCAAATGCTCAAAGTAAACTTATAGCCGCATACTGATGTGGCTCAGTGAGGAAGCTTATCATCAGATATCTACGAATCAAAGAAACTAATTTTGCGAACCAGGTAATATCGTCAATATCATACGGAATTCATTAGACGGACTACACTGCAAAGTTTCTTGCATGAAGGACAGCTGACAAACGCATCACCTGTGAGGACCGGAGTCAGATAAGGCTGCTAACCCTCCTCCTCTGTCTGATGGCCATCCTGATCTTGATCGTCTGTGGAGTGGCATCTATAGAAGGGTCTGTATGAGATGCTCAAATATCCGGTGAGTTCAGCTGTGATGGTCTATTCAAGAGTCCCTCAAAGTGTTCTACCCACTTGTTCCACTGTTCTTGAATCTCAGTGATTTGCTGGTCTTCTTTTTCCCTGACTGGTCTCTCTTACGTACTATGTTTCCATGCTAGCTTTTTCGTTGTGTTATATAGTTGTTTCATATTTCCTTCTGTTGCAGCTTCTTTCTCTATCTCTGCCAGGCCTTCCACGTATTTCTGCTTATCGGCTCGAATCTTCCCCTTTACTTACTTGTTTGCTTCTGTGTATTCAGCTTGTATCCTGATTTTCTCTGTTCTCTTTCGGCTGATGTTAATTGCTGTCTTCTTGTTCTTCCTTTCTTGAATCTTGTATAGGGTTTCTATAGAGATCCATTCCTTATGATGATGCTTCTTGTGGCCCAGAACCAAATCTCCTGACACGTTGAAGTTAGTGCTACTTTGATTACTTTCCAGTTGTTCTCCATAGTAGTTCCTTCTTTGAATAGATCTTATAAGGCTTGTAACCTGTTATTGAGAGCGAACTTGAATTTGTTGAGTCTGTCAGTATCTCGAAGGAAGGCTGTATTGAACATTTGTAGTGCTGTTTCTCCAGTTGTCCAATGCTTCTTCAGCTTTAGTTTCACCTTGACAACCACCAGGTGGTGGTCTGGAGCTGTGTCAGCACCGCTCGTGGTTTTCACATCTCCCATTGACCTTGTGAATTTTTTACCGATGCAAATATGATCGATCTGGTTCTCCGTGATGTGGTCCGGCGAGATCCATGTAGCTTTGTGTGGGAATACTGTGCCACCTATAACCGATTTGCTGAATTCACATAGATTTGCAAATCTCTCACCACTTTCGTTCCTTCCTCCTACTTCATGTCGTTCGATGATATCTTCATAACCGTTGTTATCCGTTCCGGCTTTGGCGTATACATCTCACATCTGGATTGTCAGGTCCTTTCTTGAGCACTTATCTAACATCGACTGGAGCCTCTTTTAGAATTGATCTTTATCGCCATCGTTGCTATCATTGGTGGGTGCATAGTAATGGATAACAATCATTGTGATTCCTTCATTTTTTGCTTTGAAGGATTCTTTGACGATCCTGGATTCATGAGATTCCCATCCTACAAGTGCCTAACTTACTTCTTCGGATAGCATCAGAGTGTTATAACGCTCGGTTTTACATCGTCTAATGTTATGATTGTTGGGTTTCCACGTTTGCTCACATGGGAAGTTAATTTACCTTAGACGAATATCTACAATAGATTCCCTCCTATTGTCTATTTTACAGGACGTCAACACAACTCAGATCAAGAACACGTGATTAGCCTGACCACAATGTAAATATATATGCACACCGAAAATCCGACACAATCCAACAACAACGAACAATCAATAATAATTGAGTCACGTCAATAATAAGGATAGTGGAATATATAATTCATCTGACACCTGTCAAACTATCTACATGTCTGACTCAGCAGACAACCAATCATTATCATTCTCGCCCACATATCACAAAGTAACTCGGTGAGTGTGTGCAGCATTTACTTCTTCGTGACTCGAGTACAACAGTATCTCTCCCGAATCTATCCTTTGTTGTTCCGCTTGTGTCCAGTGGGTTTCACTTATTCCGAGCACCACCAAGTTGTATCCTTTTCTTTCCGCATCTATTTGGTTGATCCTCTTGGTCTGCCACATCGTCCGAGCATCCTATGTACTTATATTAATTATTGCTCTGGTTGTTAGAAAGAGCATGGACCTCGTGACTTCCGGAAAATCTCGGCTTTCATCATGACGCATCATAATTCTTCTGAACGAAGATCCTTCAACTCAGAGGACGGAGTTTAAATGGTCTAATTTGTTTATTCTGGTTAGCGATTTTTTAGAAAGGTCTTATTCTAAGGGATAGGGTTGCCGACCCTCCTTCCTTACCCGGGCTTGGAACCGGAAGTAACTCTAGAGGAGCTACAGACAATTATCATGATTTAATAGGCGCACATTTGTGGAGTAATATTATGAATTCAACCTTATATAATTACAAGACAACATCATATCTGAAGTCAAGTTAAATTTTAAATTTTATTTTATCCCGCTTTTGGATATTCTTTGTTTTGATTTTTACAGCTTGTTAATCGTAGACAGAAATGGTATGCATTAAAAGACAAATCATTGACTACATTAGCTAAAGGTTCTATTCTACTACAGACTATTATTATTTTCAATCCTGTAAGCAACTTATTGATCAATGATTAAAATGTTATTTTATTGATGTTGTTATGTTCTCTGGTCTATGTGGAATTTCATTGTCGTTCTACAAAACATCATTTATAGATTTTGGTTATATTCACCTGTTCTTTTAATATTCAAGTTGATCATATCACACGACTGACCTCTGAAATTATGGCTTACTGACCGTTTTCATATAGGTCGATTGATTAGGTTTGTCTCATTATATCTGTTGATTGCAGTCTGATCTAAATACTAGAAATTCTATGGCACGTTAGAATTCCGGAAATTTGACTTCATCGCAGCTGAATTCATGTCCTTAGCTGATGGTCAACATTAATTGCACGGCCATTTTTGCATTTATTTACGAGTGAAATTTTTTTAAATCCTCATCTCCCAATAATTTTCATTCTGTTTCGTCTAATCAAATAGCTAGTTTCAAGTTCGTTATAATTGGTTGTTTATTTCTTAAAATTGATATAAACCGTCAGTATTTGACGACATAGCACATTTTCTTCCAATTATGGACGGTAGTAACGTGTAAAGCGCAAAATCTGTCGTTCCCTACGTTGGCACATAAACCGATAATCTATTCTTCAGCACATTGTATCTCGCATCAAATATCACAAAGTCTGTTGTCATACGCGTTTTCGTCATTGTCGTCGCTCGTCCAGTGAACTCCTCTGAGTTAATCGAGACAATTTCTTCCTCGTCATTGCTTAACGTTGCATCCATATGGACGTTGGTAACTTACAAAGGATGAAGGAAGATCATTGAGTGTTCATGGAAGTCCTTTATGAAAAATTATAATAACACTAACCAAATTTCCTATTGAATCCGATTGGTGTGTTTGTAGCTTAGAAATCTGTACTACTCAATAAAATAGTGTAGTTGGCGCTTCGTTTTTGGCTTCTAAAATTCATACATAGTTGGGATTAATTTAATAATGGCTATGACGTCGATTTATATACGAAGCCTTAGGAGTTATCTCAAAGATAATCCAATACATTACTACCTAGCTGCATGTATAACCACATAACGGTTTTTATGTATACCCAAACGGCAAGTTGAAAATTGATATATCGACGATTTTTAATGTTTCACTATTACTTAACATCATGGCATGATTGAAGCTTTATGAATTCAGATTTACCTTATGCAATTATATCCACAATGGTTTTTCATATAAATTGTAACTTCAGTTATTATTTTTCGGTTTAATTCAACACGATAGGCAAGTTTGGCTACCATGTCAAGGTAGTGGCTGCGGTTGGGTATTCCCACCTAACTATTTACACTGACTTCAATCGGTGGGTCTACGCCGACATCCTGACAATTGTTAGTTTTAATCTAAATGAAATAATGTTTACCACTTTCTAGTTGGTCAACATCACTTGGATTATTTTAATTAAAATCCAAAGAGGTCCGTAATGATATTAATTCACATTTATATGGATCTGATTATTACGGTATGTTCAACATCACAACTGTTCCAATGATTAAACACATAACTTTCAAGTATTATAATCAGTAAATAACAGTCGATATTCCCAGTTTGAAGGAGTTCTGATGTTAAATTCACTTTATCGATTGCTAAAATACAGTCATATTCTGACTAATAGTGAAAGTTAATAATGTAAATTAATTTTAGAAGGGGTTTTGTGAGGATTGTAGTAATTTCAATGGTTGAGATCATGAGTCATTTGAAGCTGGACCACCATGGAAAACCTGGAAGCATTGGACGGTCATTTCGTCCTATTGTGGGACTCCTCAGCAGCGCGCATTCATGATCACGTCTCGCGAGACTCAAACCCAGCACCTATCAGTCTCGCGCGCGAACGCTTAACCTCTAGATTACTGAGCTGTCCGGGATCCAACGGTGTTAATGTCTAACTTCAACTAATCTACGAAGTTGCGCCACCGTACACCATTGTCTTCAGTGAGTAGATATCTCACAACAAATTTCTAAAAATCTCCACAAATTCCTCTTATATTAACCACTAGATCAATAGAATGAATGAAAATGAGCTTTCATAGGACTATAGTCATTAACTATTTTCCATTTCCATTTTGTAATTCCCAGCTTAAAGCTTCAATTCGTGCATTATATCCTAAAGAAAAACGTCTATTTGTTGAAGATAGTAAAGTTAAACTACGGGTAAGTCAGTTTCAGTGTTTGAATTAAATTTTTTTAATCGTTTTATTCCAGTCAAAACTTCTTTTAAAATTTTAATCTTGTTTAACATAACTCAATGGAATCTGTATATTAGATAAACATCCAATGCACACAAACGAATTCAGATAAAGACAGCCAGTGTAGCAGCAGTCTCTGCATCAGTAGGCCTCAAAATACAAAAGGCGAAAACCAAGGTCCTCACATACAACACGGAGAACAGCAATCCAGTCACTCTCGATGGAGAAACTCTGGAAGATGTAGAACCCTACACATACCTGGGAAGCATCATCGATGAACAAGGAGGTTTAGATGCAGACGTAAAGGCGAGTATTGGCAAAGCAAGGGCCGCATTCCTATAATTGAAGAACATATGGAACTCAAAACAACTGTCTATCAACCAATATTAAAATCAGAGTCTTCAATACGAACGTCAAAACAGCCATATTGTACGGAGCTGAAAATTGGAGAAGCACAACAACCACCATCAAGAATGTACAAGTATTTATAAATGGTTGTCTATGCAAGATTCTCAACATCCATCGGCCGGATACCATCAGCATCAGCCTTCTTTGGGAGAGAACAAACCAGCTTTCAACTGAAGAGAAAATTAGGAAAAGACGATGGAAATAGATAGGACATACGTTAGGCAAATCATCCAACCGCATCACGAGACAAGCCGTAACTTGGAATCCTGAAGGGACGTGGAAAAGAGGAAGGCCAAAGAACACATTACGCCGAGAAATAGAAGCAGATATGAAAAGGATGAATAGGAACTGTCAGGAGCTGGAAATGATTGCCCAGGACATGGTTGGATGGCGAATGCTGATGAGCGGCCTATGCTCCTTCACGAGGAGTAACAGGGGTAAGTAAGTAATGTTATGGATTAGCCGAATTCTATCGATTAGGTATATTGTGTGTTGATTTAACCAAAATGTGTTAACATGTTTAATCGGTATATTATATCTAATAAAAAGGTTTTGTTTATTTTAACAGCATGAACTGACTAAAAGTTCACTCTCTAAGTGAAATAAAGTCTAGTTTGGTGATTGTAGATAATAATAATAATAATAATAATAATAATAATAATAATAATAATAATACTGATAAATATGAAGTAAAATCAAAAACAACTTTGGAAGGTTGTGTTCAGCTATTAAAAATCAGTAATTGATTTAGATGGATGATTGTCGTGCTGTATTTCTAAATTAATGGGAGAACTAAACTCTAACTGTATAACCAAAAAGTAAGGTATTAGCCTCAAAAATTGGTGATACTGTATTTAGTCTCTGGTATGGCCATGAGCATTCAATATTTCTGAATCTTATACTAGGCGAAAATCGATTGCATACTCTCAAGTAATCGAGCCAATTCGGGAGAAATTCTATCTATAATTCAATGTAATCTTCATAAATTCTTCAGTTGATTACTTTTATCTGATAATTATTTGTTCAGCAGAAGTTCAATAAAGCATGGAACTAGTTACAGTTTTATTGATCTACTGGAATTAAAATACGATTTGTAAAGCATAATGCTTATGTATTTGAATTCTGAGATTCAATTAATTGAGAGTGATTCGTGTAATTACTTTATTTTATAGGATTTTACAAAGAAGCATTTACCTGTAAGTCAGTCTTGATGACTTCATATTTTTAATGGTTATTATTGTTATCTTTAAAAACGCTAATAAAAATCAATGTTTTTGATTGAGATAATGAACCAATTAATGTTAGACCACCATGGAAAACCTGGAAGCACTAAATGTTCATTTCGTCCTATTGTGGGACTCCTCAGCAGTGCACATCTACGATCCCGCTCGCGGGATTCAAACCCAGCACCTATCAGTCTCGCGTGAGAACGCCTGAACTATAGACCACTGAGCTGTCCGGGATCCAGCAGTGTTAACGTCTAACCTCAGCCAATCCGCGAAATTGCGCGATCATCTTCCATTATGCTGAGGTAGATACCTGTCTCTACCCGACACGGAGTAGCTCCACTGGCCACGAAGGGATCATGAATGAGCGCTGCTGAGGGGTCCTACAATAGGACGAAACGGTCGTCCATTGCTTCCAGGTTATCAACAGTGGTCTAACATCAACCGGCTCATGATCTCAATCAAAAACTTAATACTCTTCACAACTCTTTATTGGAAAATCAGTGTATAAGTATATATATTACTTGTGAGTTTTTCTCAAATTCTGGAAATAATTTGGCATCAATTAATTACCAAATTTAGAACATAGTTATTATTCTGAATGATTAAAAATTATAGTTCATCTACTTTAGAGTTAGATTATTGGAAACTTTCGAAATTAACTCTTAAATCTAGGTCTTTTTACTAGTTAGCATTTACTACACTAGTGTTTCTGTAATCTTTAAAGAACCGATGATCCATTGGAAATTCTTACCCAACTTAACCTCTTATACGTTGGAAAAGTAGTAGTAGTCGCAGATGGATTACAGTGTTTTCTAGACTTCAAGCAAAACAAACTGATGGCTTCCAACCTTAATTAGTAGTAGTTTAATGGCCTCCAGTTCATTATCTACAGTCCTGTATTAATTCTAGAAATACAATTCAGTTGAATGGTGTCACAGTGAAAAGCCTAACGTCATTATCAGTCCAAATCAATTTTAGTATTATATTCATTACTCATGCTCAGGTGATCCTGATATCGACTTAATATGGACTTTGTAGCTGAGTGGTTCTTTGAGAAGCATGTTTTTTTAGTTGATGGATGGTATAATATTTCGAATTACCTCTAAAAACATGTTTTATTCTGTTGGGGAGACCCGGAAAACTCGAAGAAAGCCAAAAGGGTCCCTGAAAACTGTGGATAACATTTTATTCAGTAAGCGCTGAAGAGAAATTTCTCAAAAACACCTGAAAAGTGGAAAGTCACGTGTCACATTTTTGATTGGATGGTTACCTAGCCTGTTGCTATGTTTCGTAGGGTTCTGGAACTTCCCAGAAGTCCAAGGCCGTCTGAAATGCTATAAATACCCTGAATTTTCAATAAATAAACTAACCTCGGAGTAAGGCGTACTTTCCATATTACGCGCCTTTTCTCCCATGTTCAAATTGTCGTGTAGAGTTAGCCTGGGGATATTTGAAGAGTTTAGGAAACCAGTTCAAGCGTACAGTCGGAAGATATATTACGTTCCAATATAGATTGTCACCTTACTCAATTGAAACTGCTAATGCATGTTTTATTAAAATATTCGAATGGAACTTGATGTGTGGGCGAGAATGATAATGATTGATTGTCTGCTTAGTCGGATATATAGATAGTCTGACAGGTGTCAGATGAATTATATATTCCACTATCCTTATTATTGACGTGACTCAATTATTATTGATTGTTCGTTGTTGTTGGATTGTGTCGGATTTTCGGTGTGCATATATATTTACATTGTGGTCAGGCTAATCACGTGTTCTTGATCTGAGTTGTGTTGACGTCCTGTAAAATAGACAATAGGAGGGAATCTATTGTAGATATTCGTCTAAGGTAAATTAACTTCCCATGTGAGCAAACGTGGAAACCCAACCATCATAACATTAGACGATGTAAAACCGAGCGTTATAACAGAACTTATCACATAGAATATGAACAAGTCTGTTTGCAGGACAATGAAAATATTTTTAGATTGATGAAGACAACTTTTTTTCAAGGCCACAGAAGCACTAAACGTTTATCTAGCTTTTCGACTTTAAAAATGTGTAATTTAACAGGACTACAATTGGATGTCGGCTTAGTGGTCTAGAGGTTAAGCGTTCGCGCACGAGACCAATAGGTCCTGGGTTCGAATCTCGCAAGGCGTGATCGTGGATGTGCACTTCTGCAGAGTCCCACAACAGGACGAAAAGACCGTCCAGTGTATCCAGTTTTCTACGGTGGTATAACCCCAATTAACTCATGATCTCAACTACTAGAATTAGAAGTACAACTCTACAAATACTTTCAACCTAATATTGTAATCAAAAAACGAATAAATTATTTACACTGAATGATTTATGCAGATCACGTAACAGTGTGAATTTGAGTCAAGAATAATGAAATTCTACCGTATTGACCGATACGCTAAAATGTTTAATTTAGCTACTTCTTGTAAACATCTGTACAAGTTATCAGATATTTTCTAAACAAACCTGTCACGTTCAGTGAAAGAATCATGAGATATTTAGCTTGACTACCTGTTCGGGATGCGATTCTCCCCCTCGAAATGTAAAATGTTGCTTCAGGATTGGATTGAATCGACACATGAACTAATGATAGGGAGTAAAGTAATTGAGTGTGTCGATCGCTTCACTTATCTTGGAAGTCTCATCAGCCATTGTGGTCTGGTGTGGGACGAAATCTCAGCACGCATACAGAAGGCTCGACTAGCTTCTGCCAAATTGCGTCATTTATGGCGTAGGCGAGATATCCATCTACCAACCGAAGGATAGGTTTGCTGCTCAGCAGTTCGTTCTGTCCTACTTTATAGCAGTGAAACATGGCCGGTAAGAGTAGAGGATATTCGTAGGTTACTAGTATGCGATCAAAGGTGTCTTCGAAACATTACTCGTATATCCTGGGACCATCGAGTAAGTAACGCATTTGTTAGGAAACGGGTACTAGGTAAGGATAGCAAATCAATTGATGAAGTAGTGAAACTTCATCAGTTGAGATGGCCGGGAAACGTGTCACATATGCCCAACCACCGACTGCCTCGATGTGCGATGTTCAGTGGTATAGGAATAGGTTGGAAGAAAGCTAGGGGTGGCCAGACCAAAACATGAAACAAGTCCATGGATTCACTGACAAGTGGACTGAGTCATGTTGGTAGGTGTAGATTAGCTGGTTGAGGACTGGGCAATGATAGCAACCGATGGTTAGAGACCTTGAATGACATGGCTCAAAATCGTTTGCAATGGTGCAGGTACATCCACTCTTTGTGTTCTCCTAAATTTTGATCTCCTTATTCCTCCTTGTCTCTTTTTTCTCTTCCCAAATTTATCTCATTGGATTATACTCTTTAAATAACATCTTCAAACCCTAATTTTTCCGATTACTGCTTATACTCTTACCGCCCCTACCACTACGGGATTTGAATCGACCACTGCATCTCTGTGCTAATGTGGTGTGGCAACTCGAACTGATGTACGTATGTACGAAGTTCTACGTTGTTACTGACTGACTGTAATATTAAATAACTAAAAGTTTAGTATAACAAATATTCTCATTTTCAAGTATTTCCTCTTGTATAATATTACGACTAGTTAATTTTGACTACTCATAAACTTTCAGTTATGATTATTAAAAATATTTGAGTTCATTTATGATAGTTCTCATTTCATGGTTTTTCATTGTTTCCCTTTTATTGATTTTTTTTCTAAAAAAAAATTCTGTAGCTCTTACAACGCAATATTGATCGTCTTACACCGTATGTAGATTATATAAAAAAAAGTGGACAAGCTTTTCATAAACTTTATGCATGGGAAAGACCATTTGTATCATTAATCAGTTTGATAACATTTGAATTGGCTGTTTTATATTTTCAACCATATATGATTGGTTTCCTCTTAGCTTTATTTATGATCATCATGTTGATTGTCCCAAGGATATATTCCACTTCATCATTATTATTATCTCCAACATCAATAAATTTTCTTCGATTTTCTAGATCTAAAGATTCAGATAGTGAGGAGGTAAGTGAACAAAGTGAAAAATGGCTTGTTACGTTGATTGAGTTGTGATAGATTAGTATATTTTAAAAATAGATCTAAATAATTGATTAATATAAGCTGATGAGATGTTTAGGGACCAGGTAACACTGAACAGTTGTTTTATCCTAATTTGATGCTTATAAATAGTTTTCACTCACAGTCCTAATCTCAGAGTTTTACCTAAGTATCAATATCTGGTTTCCTTTAAGAAAACTGTCGTGTATTTGTTTACTGGTAAAATTTATCTACCTGATTCCTGCTTGAAACAAGAGGTATCTGCTATAACTGATATGCTTGTGCTCTTATTAATGTATAACGAATGATACCGTCAATTAGAGAACAGTAAATTATCGACCGGATCAATGACACGTAAACCTGTGCAAGCAGTCTAGAGTCCTTATTGGTCCTGCTTCCTGTCTAGACCTGCCGGTTAAGTTTAGAACGCCAGTCTCAGCCTCTGCGATATAAATCACGTATTTCAAACACACTGAGTTTACATGCAAACCAAACAGACCACATCACATCACAAAATAGAAAATAACATTTGTACAAGATTTGGCCAAATGTGACTGTGAATGTGGGAGATTGTAATTAATAGACTGCGTATAACTCAAGAATGGTAAATCGTATAATAATAGTTCATAGGTCAAAATAAAGCTTATGATAAGAGGAACACGAATATGAATAGTTTAGCTATTTAACAATTATACAATAAAAATATGCGTATGGTATTAGTCCAGAAATAGATTCCAACAATTACCATTCATTATTCTGATCGGGATATCACAGTATCAAATGAGTATTCTCAGTATGCCTCAACTGTCTAAAAGTTTTTTCAAAGAAATTATGTTTAATAAATCAAACATGGAACAAATGACATGAAATTCCGAGACTTGGAAGTTAAGAATACAAACTTAGCAATTTATAAATCTCACAGGTTGAAATCATGAGTCAATTGAAGCTAGACCACCATGGAAAACCTGGAAGTAGTGAACGGCGGGATTCGAACCCAGGACCTACTGGTTTCGCACGAGAGCACTTAACCACTAGACCACTGAGCCGGCATCCAACGGCGGGGTGCGAGATCGTGGATGCGCACTGCTGAGGAGCCCCATACTGGGACGAAACGGCCGTCCAGTGCTTCCAGGTTTTCTATAGTGGTCTAGCTTCAATTGACTCATGATTTCAACCTGTGAAATTTATAAATCACCCTAAACTTTCCGCAAAACTTTTGAAAAGTATTTTAGTAGGTTTAAAAATCTCCATAAAATATTCAAAATTGAAGAATATTTGAGCGAACAATTGTCTTCAATTACTCGATCATCAGGCTCTACAGTTATAAGTCCATAATTATAGTATTTTACATAGGGCAAAAATAAGGCATGGCATTAATGAATTTAACAATGTTACGTGTTAAAAATGGTGCACGATTGCATCTGTTACGATATGTGTGTACTTCAAAATTGTATTATTTGACAAATTAGAAAGGTCATTCAATAAAGGTCAGGATGATTTAGAGTAAAGTGTTCAGTCACCATAAGTATAATAGTATTATAGCAAAAATGAAAATGCAAAAAAAATTGTGTGAATAAAATGCACAGTAGGAGAATTTCATCTTGTCCATTGAGATAATAATAATAAGATTGTTGTGTGAATATAATATGTAATAAGGAGGGTGTTATCAAGGTAATTACGATCAACGAATTGGGAATGATGGATGTGAAGATTAAGATAGAGATAATCAAAAATAATGATAATAAGGAAAAAAATTAAATAAATAAAGATAAAGGAAGGGGGTAAGAGGTTTATAATATTCAGTCTAAGTATTCGGTGATCCAGTCGTAGGCCAAGGTAAGCAAATAGGCTGGATATATTTTTTTCCGGGTACATAAATTTGGTCTTCTGGAGTTGATCCAGATAGCTTCGGCTATGTAAAGCAGTCGTAATCTAGCTCCTTGAGGTAGATATTCTGGAACTTGATATAAAACAGAGAAAGCTTCCTCTATTTTGATATGATGTTCAGTATCTACCAAGTGAGAAAGAATGGTGCTGTTAACCGGTTGTGACTGAACACTTTACTCCAAATCATCCTGACCTTTATATTTAAGTAGGTTCAACTGTTTATTATAATTAAATCTAGCTGAAACCAATAAATTTTCTCTTATTTAGAATGAAGACGATGAAGACATCATTGATCCAGAGGTAACAAATTTAATTTTCGATAATAAATATTGACCACAATTCATAGATTTATGGTGACTACTCTGATATGGATGATGAAGATGAAGCAATTTTAAAGAGAAAAGTAATTACCTTATTTTTGACCTTGGTTTTAATGCTTAATTCACAAGAATAAACGTTTCAAAATATACACTCTTTTTAGCCTCCATGACAATGCATTGATAAAGTGTAGTAGATTTCTCATCTCAACAACATATTAAAACTCTTATGAAACACAACAAAGTTATAACTTAAACAGTTGAGATCATGAGTTAATTGAAGCTAGACCAACATGGAAAACCTGGATGTTCTAGAACTCTGAACTGGCTGGCATCCAACGCTTCAACTATAATATACTTCACTATAATATCCGCAAAACCCCTTCTGATACTAATCAGCATATGCTCACTAGTGTCTGGCTTCAAGAAATATATCCTGGAGTTCTAGTGAGAAGCAGTGACCAGTAGATTTCAATTGGGTCTGTTGTGAGATAGTAACTGACTGAAGACAATGGTGGATGTGTCACTCAATTTCGTGGATTAGTTGAAGTTAGAGATTAATATTGTTGGATCCCAACCGGCTGAGTGGTCTAGTGGTTAAGTGCTCGCGCGCAAGACTGATAGATGCTGAGTTCGAATCTCACGAGGCGGGATCGTGAATGCTACTTCTGAGGAGTCTCACAATAGGACGAAACGGCCATCCAGTGATTCCAGGTTATCCATGGTGGTCTAGCTTCAATTCACTCATGATTTCAGCTATTAAAATCCCTATAATATCCACAAAACCCTTTATTCATTTTAATTATTCAGTTAAACTTTATAAAGTACAATTTATCGGGAAAGTTGTTTTGAAAATACCTTATCAATAGAGGGGAATGTTAAGAGAAAAGAATGAAGAAATGCACAGGTTTTGTAATAGATTTATGTGTTTTAGACGGTCTTAATCATAAATTATTAACTTTTCAACAAATATCGAAAACAAAGCATTAGTCATCATTCATAGTTTTCATGCCAGTTTTAGGGATCTTCAGCAAATAAGGCGTCAGTAGGTGTCAATCATTTTCAATCTTTAATTGTTCAACAGCTCGTGTGGTTACTTTCAGAAAAATATTTCTTTATCCATTTTAAGTAAATTAGTATCAAATGCTGAATTCAAAGTTTTAACTTATTTAGCTAATGTATCCTCACAATAGAACTAGATAACTACCGAAATCATCCTTAATTAACTGAAGTGAGAAAATTCTAATTCTTAAATTACTACACAAAAACTAATTGATTTCATGCCTACTATAAGATGTAAACCTCGTGTGTTCGAACCCATTTTAGGCTTTGTGTTTACGCAGGACGGAGAGTTCAAAACACTCATCCAGTGCTTCCTTCAATACTTTATTCGGTTGATGCTCTCACACGGCCACGCGTATATAGCTACTGCCAGGGAAGTCCTACTCACTGCCTTCTCGTGGTGTGGGTTTTGTTTACGAAAATGAGGGGATGAAAAGCGAATGTATGGCGCTTTAACCGGATCCCAAACCAATGGTGCACATGGGCTCCAGTATCCTGAAGGAACAAATGGCGTACGAACCAGTTGTTGATCAACGGGTACCATGGGACTGCATCTCCTTACGTAGCTCCATTGCCTTGTGAATCAGACCTTCAGGTCGAAGACTCGGGTCTGGGCCCCTAAGAAAACCACCTGGTTCGGTTTGGGCACCCGGTTACTATCACAGCCCTCACACATATCAAAAGAGATTTCTGTGGCTCATATGTATTCGGTGCCTCTTTGTACCAATATCTATGTGTTGAAATAAATAAATAAACGTTAAATATAGTAGTGGAGAGTGATACAACTTCTGCCAAGATCATTGTTGTTCCTGGCTAAATAGTTGACTGGTATTTTTCATGAATATATTTAAAAATTAAATTAATTGTTCTTTAGATTATTTTTTATTAATTATTGTCTTGATCGAAACACTTCGAAATTAAGAACCCTAACTCATTACATTATGGATTCGTCTTTATTTTATCCAACACTATGTAATTTGGTAGCTGGAATCAGTTAGCAGAATATTTTGGATCTATTTTTTATACTATAGTTGTCATTCGTGAGCAATGAGCATCTATAATTCAAAGAAAATTGTTACTTTCAGTGAGATTAGAAACCTCATGACCCAGTATTATAGTCAGATACATCACCACTGAGCTAGTCGGACCACAAATAACATTTTGTAGGACTGAATTATTCACAACGGTTATTAATCAACAACTTATTAGTATGAATATGAGTAATTAATAAACTTGATAGACTTAATATCACAAAAGCATATGACTGAAAGATATAAAGTCACAAAGGATACTCGGTTGTCCATTATTGCATATCAGTTTATGAATGAAAAGTTCAGCTTTTTCTCATTCTGTTCTATATAATTTGTTTATTCTAAGTAATCTGTTATAATACACGTATATTTCATACACATAGTTCCCTTTATTATTTTAAAGAGAGCAAGAACAATGGTTGGTAGAGAATAATATGTTAATCATTTTATTCCGTTAGGTTCTCATCAGCCCCTTTACAACCTAAAATATTTGAAATTCAACGTTATTATAGATACTTATACATTAGATGGTGATGAAGGATGAATATCTGTAACATGGTGTAGCAAAGATTTCGTTCTAGTTAATGAGGTCATAAAATTTTTTGTTTCGAATATAAAGAGTTCAGGAGGGAAGGTTCCAGAACACTGAAATATTGATTAGTAACCATGGAGTAAACAAACATTAGATGATTGTGTAATCAAGTAACTGAAAATAGATTAATGGTTATAAAAAAAGATATGAATTGAAATTGGTCAGTTGTGAATGATGTAAGTATAAAATTCAGAAAGAGTTGGAATGACGTAATAAATAAAAGGCGGGGGGGGGGTAATGTTACCAGGGCAAAGAAAGATTTATTACTGTTTCTTTTTGTATACAAAGATCTGGTTTTAAACGTTTGATTGCTATCGCTTCGGTAAATTTCAAAAGGTTTGAATTTGATTGTTTGTTGATCACCTTGAAGGACTTCAATATATCGACTTCATGTCCTGTGTCAAGGAGATGTCTTGCGATAGCGCTGCTGAATGCTTTTAGTCCGTCATAGATTGAAAGTATCATTATAAAAACCAATCAAAATTGATAAAAATCCATGATAAATTTTAATGAAACTCCTTTTTTTCTTCTGTCAAAGTCTTCCACATTTTTTTTCTTTTATAATTTTAGAAAGATAAAAAAACTAGTTTAGCAGCAAAGTTAAATAAGATTCGTTCTGTACTCGGAACATTGCAAGATATTGCTGAATGGATAACATCATTCTTCGAACGATTGAATTAGTAAGTTGAACTATTAAATTAGTTTTATTTGATCTCCACTTTTGTAATTAGTAGTATCACAATAATCAAGGATTTTGGCATGGATTGGTTAACGAAACATCAACGAAACTAATATTAAAATGTCTAAGTCAATAAACTGTGTCAATGTTCTTCATCTTGTATTAATTGATTGAATCTTCCAATTGACGTTTAGGACTGTGATTAGTCAATCACTTTTTGGCGTATGTGGATCCTTTGAAGACTGCCTCGATATTGCCTTAAGTCAGGAACATTATAAGCAGAGATGGGTGTTGGCTACCAATGGAAGCCAGGACGCGCGTTTCATTCTATTTTAGACTAGTTATCCGGGTGCACTTGGATCCCAGAGTTGATGATCACACCGAGACTGAGACCCAGTATCATTCACTTCAAACGCCATTGTGTTATACACATAGCTACTGAGTCTAGCTGACATTTATTTATTTATTTATTTATTCTAACACATAGATATTGGTACAAGGAGGCACCAAATACATATGCGCCACACAAATCTCATTTGCTTTGTGAGGGCTGTGATACTGCCCGGGTGCCCGAACTGAAGCAGGTGGTTTTATTAGGGGGCCAGACCCGGAGCCTTCGACCTGAATGTCTGATCCATAAGGTAGTGGAGCATCGTAAGGAGATGCAGTCCCATGGTAGCCGGTGACCAATAATTGGTTTATACACCATTTGTTCCTTCAGGATACTGGAGCCCATGTGCACCATTGGTTTGGAATTGTGGTTTTCCAACTCCCCTAGGTAGACTCTCCATGTCCACCAACCCGGTCAAAGTGCCATACATCCGCTTTTCGTCCTCTCGATTTCGTAAACAAAACCCCCACCACGAGAAGGCAGTGAGTAGGACTTCCCTGGCAGAGGCTATATACGCGTGGCCATGTGAGAGCATTTCGAGAGGCAGAGGCGACTTTCCCTACTCTCAGCCGTACCAGGGAATTTGGGGGCAGTGCAGCTGGGAAGTCAACAACAAGACGAAACGCGGGTCCTGAATTTCACTACTAGCCACCATCCATCTCTGATTATAATGGCTGTATCAACATACATTACATAGCTCAGCTTAAAATTGTTAGAAATGATTTCACTTTGTCGGGATGATGAACGTTGAATGCCATTACCCTAACGATTGTCCTTTATTGAGGCTTAGCAGTATTAAAATGCTTCAATAGTTCTTACATATTAGCATAGGGGGTCGTGGAGATTGTTAGATATTAGAGATAATGAGTCAACCCGATATAGTTAAATATTTGATTGTTAACACCATACGTAGCCATCGATTCACTGTAGCTCACTAAATGTATTTACTTATCTATGTAGTCATAAAATAACGTTTTTGAACTTCAACCCCTTTAATTACTTATGTTTCTTACATTCCCACTAATAGACTGGGAATAGTGTACAGCTCCACGTTTAACCCAAAGTGATTATAATTGGTTAGGTAACCTGATAACTGAAATTATGTATCTCACTTGATAATAGATGCTATTCAATAGGTATAGTTAAGTGTATTAGAAATTCATCACTTCAAACTATTAAATAAAAAGGACTATTCAACATAAAAATAATAACTAAAAGCAACAGGTTTTCCATATGCTCAAGAAATGTCCAGTAATTATTTAATTGTCAAGTTCCTTGGCTGCGAGCCAAGTAACTATCTACCATCTGACTGACAACCATCACTCAATATCATAGTCGGATTGGGATCCTACAAAAATCATTGGTTCCATCAACATTTCAGATACACCTTGCCAACAAAAAACAACCAACTAAAACTTTAATTCTGAGCTTCCTGTCTATTGTGTCTAACCTTCTAATGTCAAATAAAATACGTGATGATGGTGATTTATTTAGACAAGAGGCCATATTGCAGTTTAATCGATCGAATCCACTTGGCATTTAGTATCAGATAATAAGGCATTGTCACCTCTAAATGATCTATTACTAAGAATGTTACGTTGATTGTTGATATTTAACCTTCATAATAAGATACAATTTAAATGATGTAAGCTTCTTCAGTTTATTAACATTCTTCTCTTGGATGAATAAGGATTCCTACCGAAGGTGTGACCTGAAGAGATCGTGGCAATTTCTGATACTGACCAGTTGATTTAGAGCATCAAATAATTTGAATTGCCACTTCATGGCTGTAACCTTTCGTTTAGGTATGATTTAATAGGTAACAATCAATCAGATTTTATTGTTTGCGGAAAGGTGATTGGTTAACGGATAACTTTTCGTGATTATTTGCTGGGAGAGGAGCCATGTAACAACTTTATTATTATTATTATTATTATTATTATTATTATTATTATTGTTAGAGTTTGAGTTTCAACGTGAACATCAACACTGACATGCAGATATATTCATCTGACAAGTTCCAGATAGGGAGGAGAATTTATCCTGGATTCCAAGTCTACCCACAGTCCATCTGTTCTATTTCATACCACATTAAAGCTTTCTGGTAAGGAACACAGTTATCTTAGATGAGCATAAAACTGAAGACATTGTGTTCCTATAGAAACAACATCAATCAGTCCAGATTAAATTTCAATTCAACGATAAAGATTTTGTCAATTTGTTTCTTCTACAAAGTTTAGTTGAACCGTTTTTTCAATGATCTGACAGGATTTTATTATTTGTTGTCAACTTGACTGCTCTCAACACACGCCATAATTAACCTTCTTTTTTTTCTCATTTTCCTTTATAGTTTATGCAGATGGAGATATCCTTCTTTGAGTTGTTTATTCTTGGTGACTATTTTAATGATTTCAATAATGCTCTATTTCATACCTTTACGATATATTATTTTTGGATATAGTAAGTGAGATTTTGTTAATTTGTTCAACAATAACATGAAACACGTTTTACTATTAAGTTAAGTGATTACTGATTAACTTTGAGATGAGTTTCTTAAAGATGATGCAGTGAAAAAAATCTATCTATGGAGTGTAGGATTTATCAAGTCAGCAATAAGACAATAATTCATAGGTGATATTGAATATTATGGATCAGACAAATTTAAGTTTGATTGCAATTATATGACCTTAAATGATAATGCATTCAGTGAGATCTTATAGTTTTAGTGGTTAGCTGGATGATTCTAAGGAGATCATGTTTTTGTATTCAAACAACACCCTAAAGTCAAGTAGCAATAAAAAGATTATAAAAGAGGCATTGTATCAAAGGATCTTAATTGTGCTCCTAGCCAAGGTATCATTCTTCATATTCTTGACTGGGTCGAAAAGAAAAATGTATATGTAACACTGATTTATATATCTATGGATTCGGTTTCGTAAATTAAGGTTCCATAGACATTTCTCTATCTTGAATTATTGATTGGGCAAATACATGATAAGTGTATGTATCTGAATTGGATGTCGTGGGTCGTAATATATAGGTCCTATTCTGTGTAGCTTAGTTAGTGTATACAGATGAAGTGTTCTAAAATAGAATATAACAGTTTCTTGACTTTGTAATAGTTTTTCAATGTATTTCATTTGGTTTACTGAAAATTGGCTTTGAATCATAAAAACATCTGGGCAAAATCATTCATATAAGTGATGAATCAAACAGGATTACATAAGCTTCAAAGAAGCTTGGAAATACGTTTCATGCTAGACCGAGAAACTGATTCTTCTTGTGGTTTCCAGCCCAGTATTACGTTGTGTTACGATTAATTACACTACCACTGGGTTATGTAGGTCGCAACTTAGCCCCTATAAAGCTGAGGTATTTTGGTTTATTGTTTGTTGAGTCAGTTAGTCATTCCCAAGGTAGAACCTTGTACATTGAAGTTCGGTTCAAGTTTTCACACCTCATTAGCACAGAGAGATGAATTTGTCAGGAAAAACACCAGAATTGTAGAGATAGCAATAGTGTAAATGGTAATTGTAAAGATTAGACATGGAGGATACAGTTCGAGAAGAAAATATAAACTAATGAAATAAAAAAATTTATGAGTAATTTAGGATCTTAGAATTTAAGAGAAACAAAGAATGGATGCGCCTGTACCATTGCAAACGATTTTGAGCCATGTTATACAAAGCTTCTAATCATTTGATATGATAACCGCGTGAACTTCAACCAGACAGTTTGTGTTCATCTACCCAGCTCAGTTCAACAGCCAATGAATTAATGGATTGGTGTCATGTGTTGATTTGACCACCCCTAGCTTTCTATCAGCCTACTCCTACAACAGACGACAGCACCCGTCGAGATAGGCGGTGCTTAAACATATGTAATACATGTCCCAACCATTTCATTTGATGAAGATTTACTACCTCACGAATCGATTTTCCATTCTGCTATGTTTGAAGCGATTACGAGTTCCCCTAGTCTGCGAACTGAACAACGACTCTGTGACCAAAGACCAATAAGTTAGCTATTCTGATGCATCTCAGCCCCGCTAACCAGAGAGAGAAGTCCAAGTTCGAACGGCAAATATATTCCGCAAGCAGCCAGGAGCACGAGCGATAACAACAGGCACAAATCAAACGCATATATATACAGCGTAAAGCTGTCTTGGGAAGCGTTACAAAATAACGTACTAAAAGATACAACGGACCAATAGCGTTTAGGATTCTCCCAAGTGGGAAATATGACGTTGTGAAAAGAGCAATTTTGGCGCGGTGAAGAAGAAATTCAAATTTTCAAAATAAAATCACGAAAATAAGGTATTTACCAAGTGAGATCTGAGGATCTAACATCCCCAACACATCCTCATCTAATACCCTATTTCCAACCTAGGCATTGCTCATTCACTGGTCCCGAAATACACGAGCAGTGCTTCGTAGACACCTGTGATCGGATACTGGTAACCGAGGGATACCCTCCATTCTTAATGGGCATAAATAAATCTATTTGTTCACAACTGGATGACAGTTCTCAGGCAATGTTTGTTTATCTGTTATAAAAGGAAGAGGACTGTATATTTATGCGTTGTTAACCACAACCAGTAGCCTGAATTTATGTAAATAGTTTGGCCAAGTGATAATCAACCAATCTAACTGAATTACTCGCCAAATATTACCATTTATCGTACAAATGGTCTATAGTATGCAGTTAATTTAATCTTAGATATGACCAATATGTATTTAATCATTCAAAAGTTTATCACCTTAATGACATGATATAAATCGGATTTCGTATGATAGATATAAGTATTTGAAGTAATAAGAATGAGAACATCTTTTAAGAATAATCCACTTTATCTAACTTGATACCACTGAGTAATGCACATATAGGTGAGAATCAGTGTAATAAGATATAGTTTATTATATAGCTCCTACATGTGTATCAATCCTGCAATCTGACCAAGAGTATACAAATTCTCTGGCGACATAGTTTGATCAGTGGATCCGAATATCCTACCATGCATCAATTTGATGCCAAATTAGAGCTTGTATTAAAGCACCTGCATGTGAATCACGACATTTTCATGCATACCTTTTAAATAATGAGGTGTATAGTCCATTTTATCGGGGTATTTTTTTTTGTTTTCTTTAAAAAAAAACTGTTTTTGTCACATTTATCCAGCTCTGAAAAAGTTCACACGTAGAATGCGCAATCGACAAAGACCGTCTACTACATTATTTATGGGTATTTTAAATAGAGTTCCTAGTAGAATGGAGAAGGTACGTTCAAACAGATTCCATTCCTAAAAATACGGATGATGATACGTGATGTTTGTATTGTGTAAAACATTTTTTTCAGGCAGAGTGTTGATTCAATGGATTGACTGATATTTGTAAATTAATGTATCATTTAGTGTGGGTTTTTTTAGCTGAAATTACTAAGAGGTTTAGGCGCTTAAAGATTCATATTTTACTGTCTGACCACAAAATGTTTTGATTTCTGAACAGAATGATATTTGACTTTTTACTACAAATGTAGAAAGTGTTTCCTCAATAACACTTTTTCATTTATAATTAGGATATCAAAATATTTATGTAGCTGACAAATCTTTCGAATTGAACGCTGTGTTCGTTTCTCAAGCTATTCTGGAAGCCGGCACGCTAGAACTATACAGCGACCTGAACACCAGGGAGAAGACGCAAAGTATGAGAGAAATACTTTAGTCCAAGGTTTGTTTTTGTACAGAAAACATGGGTATTTATAGATGTTAACGTTTGTTAAATCAACATCATATTTCGGTCAATCCGTTAACGACATATTATGCTACTGACCAATAGTAGCAAGCCGCGTTGGAATTCTAGAATGCACCATCATGCTCTGATTGACTAAGACCCTTCGGCTACTTTTGGGCCTCTGGAGGCTCCGTTGAAGTTCTCCGAAGGCCGGCTCAACAGTAGCGTTCTTAGGTAGACAAATATAGGTAATATAGTACTATTAGTGTTTTTGTTGAGTCAGCTTTCGGAGAACTCCAACGGGGCCTTCAGAGACCCAAAAGTAGCCGAAGGGTCTTAGCCAATCAGAGCATGATGGTGCATTCTAGAATTCCAACGCGGCTTGCTACTATTGGTCAGTAGCATAATATGTCGTTAACGGATTGGCCGAAATATGATGTTGATTTAACAAACGTTAACATCTATAAATACCCATGTTTTCTGTACGAAAACAAACCTTGGACTAAAGTATTTCTCTCATACTTTGCGTCTTCTCCCTGGTGTTCAGGTCGCTGTATAGTTCTAGCGTGCGGGTTATCAGAATAGCTTAAGAACGAATAAAGCGTCCAATTAGCAAGACTTAACAGTTTTAAATTATTTTTTTAAAATTAATCTTGCTTACACAATAAATCCACTTTTATATCAGAACAAGAATTGCAATAATGAAAGAGGACAAATCTGTCATCATTTACAATATAAGTTTCATCTACTGTGATGAACAATTTGTTAAACATCCTTTCCATCTACACATTTACGAATATAATATGGTTTAATGGAATAGTATAGTATTAGTTACATCAATTTATGTGAACAATTATAGAGATGAATTTGAGTAAAATAATGTCAACATATCAGAGTGAGGAAAATTGCAAGTAGGTTAAGAAATCTCTAGAAGCCTACATGGTTTCTAGTTTTGAGTGGATAGACATATTAGCATAAATTCAATCCATCAATTAGTGAGGGGTAGGTGGTCAATGAGCTACATAATCCGAGATCAACTTAACATAACAGTTTATTGAAAATAAATATAAAGATAACAAAGTTTATGAAGGTAACTGGTCACCAACCACACCATCGGGACTGATTAATACAAAGATATTTAGAGATTGAAATCGTGAGTCAGTTTGAAGCTAGACCACCGTGGAAAACCTGGAAGCACTGGACGGCCGTTTCACCCTAGTATGGGACTCCTCAGCAGTGCGCATCCACGATCACACACCCCACGGGACTCGAACTCAGGACCCACTGGCTTCTCGCGCGAGTACTTAACCATTAGACCACTGAGCCGGCACCCAACGGTGTTAATGTCTAACTTCAACCAATCCACGAAGTTGCGCCACCGTACACCATTGTCTTCAGTGAGCTGATATCTCATAGCAGACCTGGTTGAACTCCACTGGTAACGGCTTCTCACTAGAACTCCAAGAGTATCTCTTGAAGTCAGTCACTAGTGAGCAGATATTTAGATCTATTTAAGTAGATTCTAATGACGTTTAATAAATGCACACAAAAACATCATAATATTTTCTGTATATCATTAATTTTCTCTTTATTTATTTATTTCTAAAATTCTCTTTAAGATTTATTACAGAGAATTAAGACCTTTATCTACTCCACCAGCTGAAATAAGACAATCAAATGTGTTATCAACTACCAAGGTAGGAGGAGTACAAGGTTGTCCAGGAACGAATGGTTATCAAAGTAATGTGGAATGATGCACAAATATTCCTGGAATATACATATACATACAGACATATATATATACATAATATTAAACATAGTATTGACTTTATTGATTTTATCAATACTTCTTTTCTTTTAACCTTTTATGACATCATCAATCACTATTTCACAGCTGACAGTAATCAACAAAATACTGTTCTTTTTCTTTATTATTTGTACTTTATTGAATGTTTGAATTACGAAATCTTACAATTACAGTGTTTATTATCATTATTAATATAAAATATTAACATTTAATCACATCTCTTCCTCTCCCCCCCCTCTCTCTCTCTTCTTTCCTTCATCTCCGTAACTAACTCATTATTACTAATGAATTTTTATAATGTATCCGTATACTTTCTAAAAACAAAAACAAAACAGAAACTAATTTCTATCCAATCACATCATACATTTTAAACAAATGGAACTTGATTGACTCAATAGAAAACAAAAAAAAGGGATCATATTTGAAGTATTAAATATTGAATTAAGATAATAACAGAGCTAAATACTCTATTGTATAACATTTGATCAAAGATGATTGAGAAGAACTAGTCTTATTTGATGATTTCTTGAATCTTTGACATTGTTCCATGATAATATTGACTTATTCACAGTTGATAAAGATTATTTTTTTATAAACATCATTACAAATTTATTTATTTGCTTATTAACCTTAATGAAAAACGATTTGTCAATCATATGGAGAAAATAATAATGAATAAAAATTGTACTTTTACAGTTCATGAGACAACTTCTACTAAATCTCTATAATTCATAAATAGATCCTAGCAGTTACCACTCATTTGATTTGTGTGTAGGTTGTAATACTGCTAGGTCAGCCAAACTGAAGCAGATGATTTTCGTAGAGGGCTGCACCCAAAGCCGTTGACTTAAAAGTTTGATCTACAAGACAGTGCAGCAACACTAGGAGAGGCAGTCTAATGGTGGTCGGTGATCAACAATTGGTTCATACGCCATTTGTCTTTTTAAGATGTTTGAGACCATGTGTACTATTGGTTTGAGATCAGGGTCTTCCAACTCCTCCAGATGAACCCTTCGTGTCCATCAACTTGGTTAAAGCGCTGAACGTTCGCTTTTCATCCGCTCAATTTGGTAAACAACAGCAATGCCACGAGAAGGCAGTGAGTAGGACCTCTCTGGCAGTGGCTGTATACATGTGGGCATGTGAGAGGTCAGTCAGTCAGCTACACGTATGCATCGATCCAAGTTGTCACACCTCATTAGCACAACAAGATGAATACCGAATTCATAGAAGTAGTTACTTCAATGGTACTATTTTCAACTATACACTATCCAAACAGACATATTCTGTTTCAAAAATGTTTTAGCTTCGATCGTTGTTTAATATTAATTCACCACAATATAAACTAATAAACCATAAATCATAATAATGTTATGTCATTGAAAAAAATGCCTGATTTAATTTCACTGATTTATATTACTTTTTTACGTATGATAAACATATAGTGTAAAGTTCAATTATGACGTCGACATAGAAAAATATTATGGATTACTTGAAGTTAGACACTAACACCTTTAGATGCCGACCAGCTCAGTGGTCTGGAGGTTGTACGTTCGCGCGCGAGACTAGTAGGTCCTCGGTTCGAGCCTCGCGAGGCGTGGTCGTGGGTGCGCACTTCTGAGGAGTCTCACAATAGGACGAAACGGCCGTCCAATACTGCCAGGGTTTTTTTTATGGTGGTCTAGCTTCAATTGACTCACGAATTCAATCATTAAATATTAAAGTGATCAACTTTTTGTGTTCTCCTAATTTCTAATCTTCTGAATTCTTCATATCCCTTTCTTTTTTCTCTTCCCAAGTTAATTTCATTGGATTATACTCCTTGAGTAACATCTTCAAACCCTCATCTTTCCGACTATTTTCCATAATACTTCTATGATTATGGGATTTGAGTCGACAATTGTATTTCTGTGCTAATGTGATATGGCAACTCGAACTGATGTACGTACGTACGAAGTTCTACATTGTTGCTGACTGACTGATTGAGAGTTTTTCACCATTTTAATCAATCAGAAAACAGACTATACATGTTGGAGAGATCCAAAATATTCTTCAAAAAAGTCCAAAGGGGCCCTGAAAATGTTGAGAAACATTTTATCCAATAAACGATGAATAAAAGATTCTCAAAAACATCTAGAAAGTACTCACGTGTCGAATTTCTGATTGAATAATTAATTATCCTACTATTATGTCTAGTATGATTTCAGAAACTGTCAGAAGCCCAAGGCCATCTGAAATACTATAAATATCTTCGACTTTCTGTACATAAACTAACCTGATAGTAAAGAGTTCTTTTCATACTGTGACTTCTCTCTCATGTTTAAGTTGCCGATTTGATTCAGTCTGGGGTTATTAGAAACGTCTAGGAAACCTATACGAGCTCTCAGTTGGAAAACATCCATGTGAACGGTTATTATAAATTGAAGGAAATTAATACTTCTACGTGATTAATAAACTGTCAAACACATACTACTGTTAAAGAAACTAATTCCTTGGATATTAGGTTTTCCATTCCCTTTCACTATTGTACTTTCTTTTCAGGACTAAGTTTTCGTATCGTCCGACAACTCTTTCTATTACCACGAAGAGATATTGGTAACTTTTATCGGAATTTCAGAGTAAAGTTTTCTTCAGTAGGGAAACTGTACTATACTTCATTTCTATCTGAACCATTTATTAAGGCATCTGGAATCGTAAGTAAAATTCTTATAATTCAGTACATTTCAATTAACATGGTTTCTGAAGTTCCAACCTAAAAAGAACGAGGCAAAAATCATTTCTGATAGGTTTCTTTTTCTAACACATGAAACATTACTTCCTTTCGTATTTATTTAGCTCTTTCTACCACTAATTCAAGCCTAAGATTATGGATATGAGTTTTTTCCAGCAGTTTAATGTGTTGCAAATAACTTATAGAATTCTTCTAGTTTATACTAGTCAGCCCCCAAATACGGCCGAGAGTGGGGAGAGTCCGCTCTCCCTCTCCAAATGCTCTCACATGGCCACGCGTATATAGCCTCTGCCAGGGAAGTCCTACTCACTGCCTTCTCACGAAAGGGGTGTTGTTTACGAAATCGAGAGGACGAAAAGCGAATGCCCGGCGCTTTAACCGGATTCCAAACCAATGGTGTACATGGGATCCTGTATCCTGCGGGAACAAATGGCATATGAACCAATTGTTGGTCACCGGCTTCCACGAGACTGCATCTCCTTATGATTCTCCACTACCCTGTGGATCAGGTTTCCAGGTCGAAGACTCGGGGTGTGGCTCCCTAAGGAAACTACCTGCTTCGGTTTGGGCACCCGGTTAGTATCACAGCCCCCACACATGGCGCATATATATTTGATACCTCTTTGTACCAATATCTCTGTGTTGAAATAAATAATAACTACTAATCATGATACCATAAACAGTGAGGATTCTTTTCGAAATATCTACTGTGATCTTGAATTTTCAATCTGGATTAGTTTGCTGATCGGATCACACTTTATTATATTATTTTTAATTTACATAGTTCCATTTACTAAGTTGAAATGTATGAGAATAACAGTTTGAACAAGATGGTATAAAATTATTTCATATCGACAGAATTTTCACAGCTGTTGCCTACAATTTAGAATATTTTAAAGTTAAAATAAGAAAATCTGGACATAAACATCATAGAGCAACCTTGAATGGATCATTTACGTCGTCCCAAGCTGTCGTATTGTATAAGCGTGCTAAGATTAAAAAAAATAAGAAGAAAAAAAGCGATCGAAATAAGAAAATTACAGTTTGGAATAAAGTCAATTAGAATTTAATGTAAGTGTGTATTAATGTTTTGTAATGAAGGTTTAAATAAACTTCAAATGACTGAACAAAATGTTGGTGCTGCAATCAACCTGTAATATCTTGAATCTAATTTTGAAATCTTATGAATTGTAAGAAACAGCTGAGGAAATGTAATCATCTTATTCTGTTTAATTTGTTATTCTTGGTTTTATCATAAATTTATGAGAACGGTACATGGATGAACTCGAGGAAGCTCAGAAAGAGCTGAAGATATTCCATCCAATCATCTTTTGGAAGAATATTCCAGAATCCCTACGTGTAGCTTTTATATAGGCAAAATTTATTGTAATGCCACTCACCGCATAACCAGCACGAGGATGGAAGCTGATGTTTAAACTGTCCTACAAAAGAATCTTTTCGCCTATTATTTACCTGTACGTATGGTGATTGGCCATTGTTTTCAACCATAGAATTGTCTTGGTTTAAGTTTACCAACCTCTCACATTCACTCATCACTTCTTGTAGCGTTATATTTGGACACTTCAATTTTGCTGAGAATTCTTGTTCTGATGATGACATCTTCAGGTGACTGCAAGCTGTATATAAAAACAAGATACTTAAACTAATCTTCTGTCATTGCTGATAATTTGAAACGCTCATTCTCGCGATTTACTATGCTAGTGTATTGTGTGCTATTTATATTGACATAAGTAGTATATGAAGTTAGTCAGGAACAGAATGTCCGGCAGCAGAGGCAAGAGGATCGAACAGTAAAGAATGGAAACAGAATGTAATTTGTATGAAAATGCAAGAACAATGAAGTCTGAGTCATTTTGACACAATTGATGGTCATTTTGCAAATTGAGCATTTACTATATTTACTATATTCGTAACGAATATTGAACAAAGATGACTGTTTACCAAATATTTGCGACAAAGTTACAACCGTTGCATCAAATGAAAGGTATCTGGGGTTCTTGGGAAGAATAAAGTTGGTGTGGCGTTCATGTTCAGCTGTGCCAAGTTTACGTAACATTACTCCGACCTTTGTGACATCATCATATTTTTCTGGGTTGACCTTGAATACATCTTCGTATTTGATGAACCCCGATTCAAATGTAACACCAGTCAAACCATCAAAATGAAATTCATGGACAGAATTAATAATGTGGTCAACATGAGATTTGGAAGGATCATCTGTAAGCCCGTTCTGATTTACGTTCATTTGCTGGGTTAGAGCTTCTAGAATACAAATCTGGAACTGTTCGCAACGTTTTTCTTGTTGCTCCAACAAGGCTTCAAATTGGTCAAAGGTAAATGACATCTT